GTAGTCGTGTGGTTGCACATGAGCGTTCTCCAACACCTCCACCTGTATACAACTCCCGTGGCCGCAAAATCGCTCCTCGCAGAAAATTTGAGGCAGAAATATGATACTAGGACCTAGTAGAGTATTTCTGTGTTTTCTTACATGATAATTACTACTGTACGTGGTGCGGCAGCCTCAATTTTGGTGGAGCTGTTTTTGGTGGTTCGGCGCATTGCGCGAATCCGCGCATTCCGCGCACGGACACAGTAGTCAGGTGGGTGACCACTGGCGAATCCCTGCTGTTGTATGTTTTAAGATTTACTTTTTTGTTTTTTGCCCAATTCGCACGTCAAGTGCGCACAGTCTTAGTACCATCCTTTAGAAACTTTCGGCGGGAACACATGACCCCGACCCTGGAAACTTTGACTTAACTATTTTAATTAATCAAAAATTGTCAGAGATTTCAATACCTCCACAAAAGTTTATTTGTTATCAGAAATGTCATCCCAATGGACAGGATACAAGATCCAGCCACTCGGTAGTCCTGATCGTCCCCACTCTTGGCATACGTGGGGCTTGCAGCGTGGTGTAGCCTCGCTGCTCCACCGACTCCAACCCAGGCACGATAACGGCCTTTATCACCATCCTCTCACAATGCTACATACACCTTCCCAATTCACTATAGTGCCACTACTCTGTATGCACGATGTCGTTCGCAATGCTTACGACATGCGATTACCTTTCACCGATACTGTGGCATTGTATCATTGCGGGGAATCTGGCCAAGTTTATGGACTGAGTTCAGAAATATATAAAGTTTTACATCGAATGCAAGGACAGCATTTTATCCTGAATCATGCATCTTCTCAGTCTGGCGGCTGCCACTGCTCTCAGTGCTATCCTCGGTGCTGTACCCACAACTGCCGAGCCCATTGCACGACGTCAGACAGCTACAGCGAGCGAACGTCTTGGTCTAACATGGCTTGGTGGAAATAGTTCCTTACCCAAGGTTCTGTGCGTAAAGTCGTCTCCGGGGCTGTGACTCGCACTAACATATCACAGCATCCTGTTCACGGGAGGAACCATATCAGGAGGATCCATCTACGGCGCTCTCGATGACACTCAATACGGACAGATCGGTATAACAGGAGAAGACATCATCGCTCGAAACCCGTACCTACTTAATCACACACAGCTCGCCGTATCGAATTGGACAACTGAAAACAATGGGTCCACAGGCACCAACGACGCCCTCGTCATGAATATGACGCGCTTCGCACACGATGCTCTCTGCTCCTCGGACAGCGACATCTTAGGCGCCGTATTCACCCACGGGACCAATTCCCTCGAGGAAACTGCTTTCTTAATGGACAGTCTGGTAAATTGCGGCAAGCCCATCGTCGCTACCGGCAGCATGCGTCCCTTCACGCACCTCTCCTATGAAGGCGATGCAAACTTCTTCGACGCTGTTATGCTAGCTGCAAGCCCTAACTCGCGTGACCGAGGTGTCATGGTCGCTTTCAACGCGCGCATCATCCCCGCTTACTGGGTTACGAAGCTGCACTCTACGAATCCTGATGCTTTTTACGCAAATGCCGGCGGCGACTTGGGCTTGTTCATAAACAGCTTGCCTGTTTTTTACAATTCCCCTAGCCAGCCGCTGTTCAAGCACTACTTTGACATTAACACTGTGTCGTCATATGCAACATTTCCCCGTCTTCCCAAAGTCGATATCCTGTATGCGGCCCGCGAGTTCGACGGCAAACTCGTACTCGATGCGCATGCAAATGGTGCCCAGGGCGTAGTCATTGCTGGAACTGGTAACGGAGGCATACCCAGTGGCCAAGATGAAATATCTGAAGCGTTGGAAAAGGGCTTGCAAATTGTAGTCGGGACGAGAAGTCCATTTGGCCCGTCGAGTCCGGCGCGCATACCCAGTTTCGCCAAATCCGGGTTTGTGCATCCGATTCAGGCGAGAATCATGTTGCAACTGGCCATTGCGAGTGGCATGGGCATGAATGAGACGATCGATGTGTTCGAGGGTGGATTTAGGAAAGCTATCGGGCAGCCTTGGACGCCAGGGGGATGAGGGTGTATTTCGTATAGAAAGACTTACAAGACAGGAGATATGGGAGTACCTAAATATATATCTTCATTAGGTTTGAATCTTTTTCCCCCTCTTGTTGATATCAGGCGGTAGGCTCACACCGCAACTGCAGGTGATACCCATAAATCTATGGTGAGTCTTCCAGACCACCCCGTACGTACCACTCGCACGTATCCCACAAAGTATAGCCTGTACATATCTAATCCACCGTATATATCACCATCACAGGTTCAATGCCGATGGTAGAAAGCAAACGTCCTCCCAATCTCACTCAACGCCCCACCATCCCCATCAACCAAGAACCCCTCACCAGGCGTAGCCATGAAATACGCATATCGATGCACATCCGAACTCGCATCCATCCAAGGCATCACCTCCTCGAGAAACCAGAGAATCTGCTCCACCGTCCCCTCAGGCTTAAACTCTGTAATCCAAATCGGCCGACCCTGCGCTACTTTTCTCGTCGCCTCGATATGTGCTTTGAAGGACTGCACATTGGCGACACCGTACCTGCGCACCCGTGATATCAGTCGCTGAACCTGTAGAAAGGGGGTAAAGGGGATGACCTACCAGTGAATATTCACGAAATCAACACTACACCCATTACACTCACGCAGAAACTTCGCCAACCACCCCAGGCCCGCAGTATCCGTAGCCCACGCATTTGTAACAGCCGGAGAACCCAGATATACATTGCGATTGGACGCAGCAAGTGGCTGAAGGTACTGTTTCCACGCTGCAACGGTAGTCGCGACGTCGATACAGGAACCGCCCGTGTTGGGTCTGTGTATCGCACTTGTCAGTTCCATTTTTTCCCGATTATCGGAGCAGAGGGCTGTGAGATGGCAAGGAAGGAGGGACGTACATACATGCAATTATCTGGCTCATTGAACCCCAGAACCCAAGTTGCTGGACCCTTTTCCCAGTTCTTCTGCACTACGGCCTCGACGTTGGTCTTCCAGACTTTTGTGTGGTCGGAGCGTACAGAATGCAACATGGGGGAGAAATCGAAGGCCGTTGGGGATGAAGCAGTTGACGAGTCCCAGTTATAGCGCCAGGTAACGTGTGAGCCGGGCTGGGCGAAGAGATATAGCAGGTTGGCGTTGTTGTAGGCGATGCCGCGGCGCTCGTGGGCGGGGATCTGAGGAGGAGATCGCGCGGTTAGGTTGGTTGGATGAGTGACGGGGGAGGCGGCTGTAAGGAAAACAAAGGAAATGCAAAAGAGGAGGAAAGGGAGTCTGCTCATCTTGGAAGTGGAATAAGAAGTGTAGAAAAGAGTGTTCGCGAGTCGATCTTGCAGAAACGAGTGACATGGAATCGAGGTGGGAAAGAAGCTGACGGAATGTTGAGCAGGAAGAGGCGCATGGGAAGTTATCGCTAAGGCTATTTCTGATTGAGGTGAATGTGCTATGGTGAGTGCAATGAAAGTAAACACAGGTGACAGGAGTGATCGCGTACCGGAAATTATCTACAGGTCTTCTTTCACTATGTAGACCCCCAAGAGACTCCAATGTGAATGAACTATCCGTCTAGCCATAAGCAGTGTATTCCGATAAAATCGGTTGATATCTATGTCATTGCTCTTGGAACCGGTCGCGTTGCAATCCGCAAGTACTATGTACATATGCATTGAAAGCTCCTACTCGAAATCTTTTCACGCACAAGTGATGTATCCTTCCCAAAAAAATTCCATGTTTACATAAACTTCTCAGCACTAAACCGTTTTATCCTCGTCTGTCACTGCACGCCCCAAACACCAAGCACGTCCCTCCCACTCCCCTGATGCGCCCGATTCTTGCGATCCTCCAGCGTCTTCACCCTCCGAACCGACATTCCAACACCCAAGGGGCCAATAATCGTACAAAGGACAATCGCCCACGTCACCACGAGAAAGATATTCGACGAGTCGGTTGAGACATCATTGGGTGAGGAGAAGATGCCTTTGGATTCTGCAACACCGGATATAAGGAATCCAATTTCCCCTCGTGAACACATTGCAAGAGCGATGATAAGAGGAGGATGAAGTGAAAATGGCTTTGGCGGGTTCGGTGAAGCACGCGTCGATGCGCTCGTGACCGTTTCTCTTGCGCTGCTCGGCCTAGGCGTTGCTGTCCTTGTGCTTCTGGACCAGAAATGCGGAACATATAGCTGCTTCAGTTTGGACAATACGCGGTCCATATTGCCTTTGGCTGGTGCAATGGAGAACCGGACGAGCCAGAGGCCGCAGGCGATTTTGCCGAGGAGCATCAGGATGGTGTAGACGAAACCACGCCATACGATGGCGCCTCGGAACATTCGGGTGATTGGAATGGAGAAACCGATAGAGGCGAAGAAAAAGGGCTGGAGGATTTTAGAAACTGCGGGGTGATAGTATCGGTGATAGATGGCGGATCCAGACATGTCTTCGTCACCATTAAACGTACTCGGTCCTTCAGCAGGCTGTGTTTCTGATGGAGTCTCGGGCTCTTCTTTAGCTTCGGGGGTTGATGTACTCTGCGTAGGGTTTTGGATTTCAACAGAGCCTTGAGAGCCGTTCGAGGACTCTGGAGAAAGATTGATGGGTACTGTACTCTGTTCACTAACAGCTGAAGCTCCGTGTACTACTTTCTTAACAACTGGATGGGCAACTTCAGAATCCCACCAACTGATGCTTGCCCCAGCAATATAAGCGGCGAACAGGTTCGAAGTCCCAGCATAGGTTGCACCTGTAATCAGGCCCACCAAGAGCAGAGTATGCAGCACAAAGGCCGTCTGTGGCTTCCGCAAAAGCCGGTCGAGTGCCTCATTTTGATGAGCTTCGCGATGCTGGTTAACCCGTAGAGTAACTGGTCTCGCAACAAAGAGGCAAGCAACTGGTACAGCTAGAGCGAACGCCACCGACACCAGGACTGGGCGCACAACAACAACCCAACTAAACTCGCTACCACCCAAGTTAGAAATCACCTGCACCATGACAAGTCCCACAACATCGTCCATCATAGCTGCACTCGTCAACACAACGCCCAATCTGGACGACGACAAACCGCTCGACGCGAGAACCGTGAACGTAGTGCCAAGACTAGTTGAGCACAAAGCTGCTCCCGCGGCAAAAGCTTGCAGCGGCGTCGCGTCGAGTAGTCCTTGGAGAGTGTACGACAGACCCACCGGTAAGGCGATTCCCGTCAACGCGACACCGGATGATAGCAGTAGATTCGCTTTCAGCGACTGGAACGAGGTATGTAGGCCACCTATCCATAGAACTTAGCATCAGTAACGCGACGTCTGGAACCCTGGAAGAGGCGCCAGAAGCAATGTGGAAAAATGGGAATCGTCTCATACCTTCAAATACAAGTAATAGCAATCCTAGATATCCCAGCTGCACCACCGCATCTTCGACATTCGATGAAAGTATTTTCGCGCCTGGCGTGCCCCACGCGATGCCAACGGCAATTTGGCCGAGGAGACCGCAGTAGAGAAACTTATCGAATATCGAGTTGATGACGTTCAGTAGCAGCAGGAACGAAGTGAGGATAAGGATTGTGATGATGTCTGGTTCGTGGTACGGCAGGGAAGGCGCCGTTTCGGTAGTAGAGTCGGCAGCCATTGTGAGAAGAGGCGCGTAGATATATGAGCAATTACCGCATTTGCATAAAAACCATTTATTGTTGATCTGAATACTGAGAATTGCAAAAGTCTCTTTGGAAAAGGAATAGTTCGCGTTTGGGGAAATGCGCTTTTGATCGCCGCTTGGCCAAAGCCTTGGCTTGCACGTGACCCGGAGACTCGGGGCTAAATATCATTACTCCTAATCATCTCTCTCTTAAATCTGTCCCCTTGAACCACCGTCATGAGTAGTATATTAGCTTTTAGTACAGTTGCTGCATAGTCAATATGGCTTAGTATTTTGAAATTCATAGACGATTAAAGATCACGCACGTACCAATCTGTATAGATTCTATCTAAAGAGAAATACGTCATCATAGAGAATATTTTGTGGTGCAGATCATGAGTTCTAGTCAGCGGCAGCGGGTTATTTTGATTTTCTAGTTTCGTCAGTTGTCGTATGAGAGGGATGAGGCTGCATTCGCTAGCTATTGTACTTGCGCTTTTGTTACTGTTAATTCATGAACGTCGCTATAGCGTAAGAATCACTGTCGATACTTATCGAGTAAACTCTTGGCATTTACCCCGCGTGCCTTGCTTCTGCGTTGTTGTCAGCTTTGCCTTGTCTCGAGTCTTGCTGAACTTTTTGCATATACATGTCCTTGTCAGCATGGATATAATCGAGTCAGTACCAGCATCACTATACCGAGTTCAACACAACAGGTCATCTACCTATTACGACGAGAATGAAGGCTTCGTGGCACAGGGCCAATATTAGATGAAGTACGACCATTGGATTAACCCAACAAAAGTTCGGAAGCACCTAGATTGGAACGATAGATCATCGGAGCCCAGCCCATTCATATCTCTCTTTGATAATCTAGGTAAATTTAATTTGATGTGAAAACTTGGACCGCATACAAAGTAACAGAAATGGTAGGAGATGCACGAGAAAGAGCATTATTTCATCGGGGTCAACGCGCTCAGAATATCTTCATAGCTCGAATCAGCACAGCCGGAACAAGACCGTGCAACCTTCGTATTCAGTTTTCCGAAGGTCTGGTTGAGCTATCTGGTTGGATACACACTGCTACAAAAACAATGCTGTTTCCAATGCGCCATGTTGGATCGAAATTTCGTATAGAGAACCACAAGATTCAGCGGTCAGAGTGGCTCGCGCTGCCTTCCATTCCGCCCGAGCTGATTACCTATACAACTACCTTTCAGCAGGCTAGCCTACTTAACGTAAGCTCTCCAATCTCATCCATCGACCAAGAGATAGTCTTAACATGAAATAGCAATCTAATCAAATAACCCATCTACCTAATATCCTTCCAAGTCCCATTGCATACTCCTAGAAAACGCCCTCCCAATGCATCCATTCAGACCATGATAGGACCCCTACACGGCATCAGTTCCACCCAATCACCCCCTGCGCCAGCACTTCCCTCGCCCCACTCAACACCGACACTCTTCTCCCGATAATGCCCCTCTCACCAACACCCAGCTCGAGTTTATCTTCGAGTTCCCACTGCCCGTTTTGCGACTTGATCGGAAAAGAGCAAAATGCACTTGTAGCGCTGCATGTTGAAGACGAGAGATCGCCGTCGCGACTACTTTTGCGTTAGCATGCGATACCAGTGTAAAGTGGAAATGTAGGAAGGAAAAAAAACGCACTGTATAACGACCCACGCCGCATGCGTAGATTGTTGGTCAAACCCAGCCATTTCAACGTTTGTGCCGGATGTTTTGGAGAGAGGGTTGGTGAAGTAGAGTAGGATTTCTTCTTGTTGTGTTTCGTCGTCTGAGGAGCTGAAGATGGATGAGGAAGAAGAGGAGGAAGAGGAGGAAGAGCGTGTGCGGCGGCCGGGGGAGGGCGGGGTTGGATGGAGGACGGCGATGGAGCCGCCTTGGGTTACGCGTGTGGATTCTCCGTTGCACATGTTGGGTGTTGGGTATCTTGAGTGGTTTATTTGTGTGGAAGTTGGATGAGATGGTTGAGAAAGTGAATGTACGGACGTGATGGTGAGAATAGAAATACAGAAAAAAAAGAGCGGAAATCACAGAGACTTTTAGGTACTCACGAGATGACGTCGATTGGGAGATTGCGTGTCGATTGTTTTATTAGCCAAGGGGGGTCAAACATGCTGAGGGTGAATGAGGTAGTTTCTTTGAGCAAGTTTGTTTCGGGAGTACCTGATTGGACCGAGGCCGACTGAGCGCAACCAGCACGGTGCTATGGAGTCACCTTTTAATCAAAACAGGCCATGTAAGTACACATCGAGACACTGTAATGTCCTCAATACTATATTCTCTCAATACACAATAAATGCGTTGAAATCAGATCGACGCTTTGAGCACACTGAATGCATCAGCGCGCGATCCCAAGTATCGCTCCTCAGCCGTCTTCCAGTTGATCACGTTCCAGATATTCTTCACATAGGCTGCCTTGCCATTCTGGTACTGCAGGTAGTACGCATGTTCCCACTATGTCATGTCAGTCGCACATTCACCAACATGTTCAAGTGTATTGTTAACACACCATGTCGACGCCAAAGATGGGAGTCTCGCCCTTTCCAACCACAGGATCCTGGTCCTTGGTAGTCACAATAGAGAGTCGCTGCTCCTTGCCGACCTCAGTCTTGACGAGCCAGCCCCAACCACTGCCCTGGATGCCCAGCAGAGCAGTGTTGAAGGCCTCCTTGAACTTGTCCTCATCGCCCCAGGTGGCCTTGATCTGCTTAATGAGCTGAGGAGCAGCGGAGCTCTTGGCCTCGTTTGAGCTGGCCGGAGCAAGGTTCTGCCAGAAGAGGGAGTGGTTGATGTGGCCACCAGCGTTGAACTTGATGCCTTGCTGTATCGAAACCTGAGATGTGATGTCGAGGGTCGAGACAGCTTCAGCCTGGGTCTTGAGTAGGCCATTCAGATTGGTAATGTATGTTTGGTGGTGCTTGCTGTGGTGCAGCTCCATGATCTGAGCAGAAATGTGCGGCTCCAATGCCTGTGAAGCTATGAGTACGACTGGTGCGGGGCAATGAGACGGGCCAGGGCGGCAATACTAACATCATATGCATAGGGAAGCGGAGGGAGCGTGTACTGTGGTGTAGACATTTCGCCGAATTCAAAGGGTTGCTGCTCTGAGGCGCAAACTGAAGGGACGGAGGAGAGGGAGAGAAGAAGAAAGCTCGAAAGCTTCAGCGTCAAAGTGCCCCGCATCATGTGTGACTCTCACGCAATCGATGACCCCGAAGGCGCGTCTCTTTGTCAGACAGACTGGCTGTCCCCAACAGGGTGCTCTGAAGATGCGCTGCCTAATCGGGTATAGGTTCTGGAAACTGCCTCAATTGAGCGCGAATACACTACTTGGCAGTGCGGATGCAACGGATTCGGAGCAGACTTGAAGCAAAGAGAGAAAGTGCTGGTTTTGAGTACAGTGAAGGACTTATGCAGTGCTCTCTCTTGCTGGGTGTCAGTGAACAAGAAGTGGGGGTTGGCAGAGGCGGGAGTGATGTAGTTTTGGGCTGACGATAGCTTCTGCGTCCAAGGGGGACAATAGTGTATGGTTGATTACAAACCAAAGCGTTTCATAGTGGTATGAGAACCGTAATTATGTAATAAGATGGCTCTTAGTGATGTGTACCGTGTATGTCCTGCGTGGCCGTTGCTTTCTCGAGGGATGGATGCCGTCAGCGCGGAAAGCTCCCGAGACGGAGGGGGACATGCGCTAGTCTGTTTTGGAGCTAGTACACAAACTATCTCTCCCCCCTGTCTGTTCTGCAAGGGCCTCCCTGTAAGGAGAGTACAGTGCATGTCGGTGGAGACTCCGCTTTGTGTAGAGTATTGCTGGAAACAGTGTGGATAGTCGTTCAGCTTTGGTGGCCATAGAGCTGTTGCTTCGTGTCATAGTGTCATAGTAGTTAAACTTCCAATCACTACACCTATAGGGGCTTCTGCCCATATGTAATATGAAACTGCACATATGTATGAATCGACGGATCCCTCACCTCTCTTTTCGCCAGAGCAAGAATAATCTGCAAATCCTCTACCTTGCCACCCAACACCTGAGTGTATCCGCGCAGCATATACGCCTCAAACCCGCCTTCAAGAATCATAATCTGCTCCAGCTTACCGACAGTTCGCAGTCGCTTTGATCGAGGCCAGGGGCCCATTGGCAATTTGTATACTTCGTCTTGGACGTTGACAAAGCCGGCTTCTTTCATCTGCGCATTCCAGTCGCGTGGTGCTGCGAGCGGCGCCCCCATCTTCTCCGCAATTTCAAAGTACACTCGGGCCGTTTCCACGTAGCCGCTGTTCTCGGGTATCGTGTTGTCGTCGGTAAGGGGTCCAGGTATGGTGCTTGCCAGCTGAATCCAGCCGCCTGGCTTGAGGTGCGCATACGCCTGCGCAATCACACGGGGCCAGTCACGAATAGCCGTCATGAGGTCGCGGCCGTGGATAAAGTCGAAATGGGCAGGGCGATAGGGCCAGTCTTCTTCGACGTCGTCGATCTCAAAGATACAGTTTGGTGGAACAAAGGCCGGCTGTGTGGCTGCGATATCTACACCAAGAATCTCTGCGTTGGGATACTTGTCCGCCATGTCTATGGCCCATATGCCGGTGCCGGTCCCAAGGTCGAGGACGCGACAGTTTGCGTCTTCAAACGTCGATTCTGGCACGGGCGCGACAAAGAGGCGGTCGCGCAGCAAGAGGGTGTACTTGTGATGCTGGAGATCATTGCGATCGAGCTCCTTTTCGTCCATGGGCATGCCATAGGCATGCTTGCCGTAGCTGGGGTACAGGCGGCCTTCGATTTCCACCCCACGGCGTACTTCGGAGAGAATCGACGAGAGGAAAGACGAGGCGTCAGAGTCGGCATAGCTGTGCACACAACGTTAACAATGGGTGCGATGCCGTGGGATGCTGTCAGCGCGCTAGTTTACCCTTCATCCGTCGACGCCTCGCTCGTGTCATCGTGGGCGACGAGCGCGTGGCCGGCGCTGTTGTCCTGGTCAAACTCGGACGATGAGCCTACATCGACGCCAGAGTCGATGGCCGCACCAGGGTGGGCCGGCGACTGCGACGAAGCGCGCACAGCTTCGGCGTGCGGGGGGGAATGCGCCTCGACATGGCGTGTTGACATGGTACACGGCTGCTAATCGAGGATGGTTGCAGCGCTGCCTCGATATCCGCCTACGATCCAAACAGGGAATCTCGGTGACAAAAAACGGGCCGCGCAGGGGGCTAGCCGGGCGGCGGGTGGAGAGGCTGGTGAGCGTGCGGCAGGATGGCGAGACCTGGGGCTGGGGAGACGTGCGAGGATGCATCGAGGAACCAGAACGTCCTAACGGCGGTGGCCCAGGATATCATGACGCCTGCTGCATCCTCCAAGCTCGCCGTCGCTTTCGCCTGCCTGCATGTACCAGAGCCCACAGCCCACAGCCCACAGCCCGTCCCTCTCGGCAAACATCCGCCCGCACGAGGGCTCTGGGCTGAGGGGTTGCGAGGGGAATAGACCCGAGGCCAACCACTCGTTACACACCACCGAACAGGCGTTCCCTCCTCTCCTAGATCAATTATTTCCTCCGCACTGATTAGACGTTACCAATGGCCGCCGATCCGACGCCGTCACAGGCTGCGCTGGCGCTCCTCGACAATGTCGCCACTTTGAGCAACGACTTCCGCAATGGCAGCCCTGGCGCGCGCAAAGAGCTGCTGGATGCGTGCAGAGGCCTCATTGCAGAGATCAGCCACCCCTCAGAGACCATGCTTGACCTGTTGTGGGCCCAGCCTGCCCATCTCAACGTCTTGTGGATGGCTGCAGAAGTCAACTTGTTCCAGGCCATGCAGAGTATCCCTGACACAGGCGCGTCCGTCGATGAAATCGCAACAAAGTGCGACAACAATGTCGACCCTGTCATAGTCGGGCGCATGCTGCGCCATCTCGCGGCCATGCATACCGTTCGCGAGACTGGGCCCGGTATCTTTGCCAACAGGCCCGCCTCCACTGCTTTTGCCCAGCAGTCCTACCAGGACTCGATCAAGTACATTGCTGAGACCATGCAGCCCGTGCACAACTGCATGAAGTCGTACTTTGAGCAACGCAACTGGAAATGCCCCGACTCCGGCATTGATGCTCCCTTCCAGCACTGCTACAACTGCAAGGGAAGCCATTACTTTGACTATTTTGAGAAACATCCCGAAATGGGACGTCGCTTTGCTAGCATGATGGATTCGTGGAGTAAAGGCCGACCCCGGTGGTTTGAAAATGGCTACTACCCCATCCAAGAGCGCCTGATCCACGGAGCCGACAAAGACGAGCCATTCCTAGTCGATGTTGGCGGCGGCTCCGGTCACGACATTGAAGGTTTGCGCGTAGCTTTCGAGGGAAAGCTTCCTGGCCCACTGCTTCTGCAAGATCGCCCCGAGATCATCCAGCTCGCGAAGCTCGGTCCAGGCGCCGACAAGATGGCTCACGATTTCATGACTGAACAGCCCATCAAAGGCGCCCGTGCATATTATCTGCATTCCATTATTCAAGACTGGAATGACCAGGTCAACACGGACATCTTGAAAGCCATTGTACCCGCGATGAAGAAGGGATACTCCAAGGTTCTTGTGAACGACTATGTCGTTCCAAGTCAGAGCGCGCATTGGGCGCAGAGTAAGTGGTTCAGGTGTTCATCCCATGCTGTGCCTGTTCTAACCAAAAGTAGCGTCCCTTGACTGGGAGCTTATGGCCGTTCTTGGAGCGCGCCACCGGACCGAGGAGGAACATCGCAAAATGTACGAGAGTGCGGGCTTGAAGATGATAGGAATTTGGCGACACCCACAGAGTCTTGACTGCCTCATCGAGCTGGACATGGCTTGAACAAAGGGTTTCTCGGTAACTTCATTGGCGCTTTGCCAGTCAGCGACCCGCCCTCACAGGCGATTTCTTCCTTCGTTCAAAAAAAACCTCCTCAATCTCCTGCTCGTCCAGCGTTGTACCTGCTGCGTCCTCTGTGGTTTGGGCAACATTCAAGATTCGTGTATAAGTGCCAGTCCTTCTCAATCGATTCTGTGATCCTTCCAACGGTGACAGAACCAAACAATGATCCCACAACGTGTCGCTACCTATCGGCTCCGTCATGTTAGAAATCCGGGGTCTCCGATGTTCTCGCCTCACCAACAAGCAGAACAGATCCTTCTCATCATTTCCAGTATCGGGGCGGTATTGGCCAGAATCTCGGCAGGCCTCTAGATCGCGGTTTAGAGAATTAAAGCGATTAATGAAACTTTCACCGAATCGTAGTTTGGCGACACTATGGACACAACGTGTCAAGTAGCTGCGGAGACGGAAGCTGTTTCCCATTTCATGACCAAGATTGTGTTCCAGAGGTATAAATCACATGGTCCGAGGTATGCATACCATTGTTTTGAGAGTACCGGTAGACCACGTTTCCCCACAGCTCGCGTAGTTTGTCATGCGTAGCGGGCTCCCTCCAGTCCATTCACAGAGCACATGAGGTACTGCAATTGAGGTTTTGCGGTCTGCCATTTTGGAGTGCGAGGACGAGGGAAAGGCAGGAGGAGAGTGAGAAGACAAGGCTGGGGTGAAGGGTGAGTCGAGCGCGCTAGTGAGTAAGCGACCGACTGGCTGCTCTTTCCTCTTGTGCGTGCCTACCTTGGGAAGAAGGAGCCATTCACTCTTGCAGCACTTTGCATCTTTTGCATCATGGGCGTTACATACGACACTGACTGACTTTGTGTGTTTGCATCGGAACCTCTGGTGTCGCTGTCAAGTCCGTTGGCCTGCTACTGTTTTGAAAAGCATTTCTTTTGCGGGGTATATAATGTTATGTTACAATGATTAATGTGGTTCGTAATGCATCTCATGATGCTTCCGGACATGCTCGCATGTAGAATAATGCACTAGCCTGTTTGGGCCTTCTCTTCTCTTTTCTCCTCCCAGCTGCGCTATGGATTCCTCCTCTCTTGTTTCCGCTCATCAGCTTCATTTTGGTCTGCATCCTCACCATACTTGGCCGGCAGCCCGGGAACAGGCTCTGCCGACATTTCGTAAATGCAATCTCGACTGCCCAGCTCGGGCACCGCCCTGCTTTCGTACAGCTCACTATTCCCTTGCTTGCCCGGGAGTTCGGAAACCCTAGGAGCGTTCGATTCCAGTTCCGAAGGAGGCTGCATCTCGTATCTTATTTTCTCGTTCGCCCTTGCTTCGACAGCGTCATGTTGTACAGTGTCCTTTCTGTTTCTCTTCCGCACCACCAACCATGCACATACAGCGAGCAGAGATATTCCAACTACACATCCGACAACTATCCCGGCTATTGCGCCAGTTGGCAAACCACCCGTCTTCTTAGCAGCTGCCTTGCTTTCCTCTGATAGTATAGGAATGATGTCTGGGTCCAGCTCGTCCCATCTTGCTGCACTGACGTTGAAAGTTCCAGACTCAAAGTCCACGCCAATGTACGCTTCCTGGAGAAAGGCCCTGCCGATTGCGTATTGGCTTTCATTGTCAGCTCTACGGATCGGGAAATAATTGGTTTCGTTTACAAAAATTGGAAATCCAGCTTGCAAATCAAAAGCAGCATATGGAAGTTGAATAAGGGTAGTGTTGCCGGATATGGATGCGTCTGAGCCGATCGTCATCGTCACAACAGGGTTCATTGACCGGAGTCGATCTCTCTGAGCGTCTGTCAGAAGATAGTGCCCAGATGCTTCATGGTATTCCAACCCAAATACAGACTCAAAGCGATCGCACACCGACTTGGGAAGCCATAGTTCAGGAATCGACGAGTCGAGGGGCGCGAGGATTCGCTCGCTATTGACCAGAGACAGTGTGCCGTTCAATGTGCCTGTTGCTACAATGTCGTGTATAGAAACCATCAATGCTTTGCTCATGTCGGTGTTGATGTTAACAGTAAGTGGCTTCGACGCACGCGAGCCGTCATAACCTCCAAGCACCAGGCTTGCCGGCACCTTGGTACCCCGATACGGAGCGCCTGCTTGGTAACCGTACGCCACGCTCGGTATATGCCCTCCATCTCTTAGAGCGACTAAAAACGAGGGTGAATTGATGGTGGTCGAGTAGTTGATCGACAATGGCAAAAGGCCGAGTTGCCCTACCCAGAAGCCGGGCGAGGCATATGCAGTGACGGGAAATTTGTCAATCGAGATATTCCCTACCTGAACGTTGTCAAGCCCAACAAATCCATTGCCCGTTATACCACGGACTTTCTCAAGCCCCAGTTCATAGAGATTGATGGCCTGCCAGGACGAAGACATGTTTGGCTGGAAGCCGGGACTTTGACTTTGTTGAAAAGGTGCTGCCCCGCGAGAGCTACCACACGCTCCCGCATCGGCTTGGAGTCGCAAACACTCTTCGCCGATTGGTAGCCACACATTCTGCGACTGAAAAGATGGGAATACTTCGAACGTTTGTGGTGGCGTTCCCACTTGGACTGAGAAGCTGTCGTTGTTAGCGCACTGAGTATGTGAGTGCCTTTCACAGCCTGGTGGAACGTAGTAAGTACCCTGTCCAGCTCCCATCGTTCCCATACCAGCGTCCGGATCCCGCAAGGGAGAGTGGTTTCGCCATCTGGCTGCTACCCACCTCGCGAAACGCTCACGCTCGCAGAGGTCGATTATCTTGGAAAGTATGCAAGTAGTATGGGAGTTGTAAAGGTCCACAAAGGTTGGCGGAGTGGGATGTCAGGACAGCGAGCTGAATGTGAGTCTAGACAACAATAGCCACGCCACCCCCAAAGCCCTGCATCAGATGTGCATCTTGAGTGGACATTAACGGGAGCACCCCTGCCGTTAGAGAGTATGCAGATCGGACGCCTAACCTACGCTTACAATCAAATCTTATTGTATCTTAACTCATTGAGGCAATGCATATGCATCCAGCCAATCATGGTCCCATCGCCGAGCCTGCGCCAAGAGCACAACTTTGGGGGCCAACTTCGAGGCTGAGCGACAACACACAAAGCGGACATGGGATTCGCTGCACGTAGTAGAGCAGTCAGATTGATCTTCTGATCCTTCTGCCTTACTTTTCGTTTCCGTCTTGTCGGGCGCCCCTCCTCTTTACTACTCCAACTTTTTGTGGCTGCGGAACCTACCTTCTAGCCCAACAGTGACAATGACGAGCACTTTCATACTACTCGTCTACTCATGCTTTATTGGTAATAAACAGAATCACACCATGCTTTTCTCGGAGCTAACGAGCATACTTTGAATAGCCGTGTGTGTGGCATTCACCCACACTGTAGACAATATCACAACTTCGTATACTGTACCCAAGACAACGGCACCGCCTAACCTACACAACACAACGACACCCCCAAGCTCTACAGAACCATGTACGGAAACTACAACAGAGTATTACATGCCACCGTACTCGCAAATCGTAGAGACTGTCACGGAAACAGCAGTACTCACCGTACTGATGCATGTCACTCCCTTTCCAAACGGTACTACAGCCACCCGTTTTGAAACTCTTAGTGATAAGGCCATGACAACAAGCGACGAGGTGATGGTGGCTTCTTCAATCGATGAATCCACAACCACTGCATCCACAACCGAAGAGTACGTATTTCGGAAAGAAAGACAGGTTAGGTCTACTAACATCTTCAAGTCAGTACAGAGTCTCTAATAGCTCCACAACGTATCCTACACTTTCAAAACCATATCCCACATCTACAGAACCATATCCAGGATCGGATTTTACGACAGAGTCTTGCTCATTCACATCAACCTCCACCATTACTCTGCTTCCATACGTTCCTCCAACATCTCAGGTCGTAACCGCGACAGCAATCACAGTCTCAACTCTCTTCGACTATGACTACCTTACTCCACATAATCCCATCATAGATCCCACACCAACAGCGTAAGTGAAGCTCTAATCGTATGATACGGAAAACTGATCAGATACACAGCACGCCAAATCCAGGTTTGAACTCCCCACCAGGCCCTTCAAATACCGGACAATCGTTCAAGCCTGCACCTCCATCAAACAATCCACCAGGCACCACGAAAGATAGCCCAGCCCAGCCTGGACCTTCGCACGTACAGCCTGTAAATCCACCGCCACAGCCCCAGGAGCCCCCTGAAGTTAAGCCAGTAGACCCGACAGTTTCTAAAGCAGTCGTGAGACCACCCATTACCGGTGTGCCAGGGCCCAAACCTACCAATGATGCCACACCCCCACCGATTGTCACATTACCAGGAGCCGGTCCTATCGTAATTGACCCGTCACGGTCTGAAATCATAATCAGTGGGACCACGACTAGATTCAATCCAGGTCAACAAACGACTATCAACGACGTGCCAATTTCCTTTGATAGCTCCGCCGGGTTCGTGGTGGTTGATGGTACTAAAACAATCGGGCTGCCGCCACCAATGACCCCAGCACCCATCGCAGCACCCGTTGTTATCGGCGGTACAACTGTGGATATTAGTGATATAGTGCCGGTACTGCAGCCTGGGCAGGTTACCACCATCGGTACCAATACTATTTCCCTCGACGAATCTAGCTCTTTTCTCATAGTAGATGGCACGCGGTCTATCCCGCTAAACCAGCAGACATCAATTCCCAGTACTTCCACAATCGACATCAACGGAGTACCAATACCTGTGGGACAGCTCGCCACAGAGCTAGACATTGGCGAAACAACCGTCATCGGAAGCGTAACTATTTCGCGCGACAATACCGGCCTGGTCGTTGGCACTACTACAATTCCACTCCCGACGAAAACAGACGAGATAATCGTCGGAGGCACGACTATATCGCCTGACGCACTCCCATCTGGATTTTCCTTCATACCAACCGCATCTGGTGGCGGCCTGCTACTTCCCAATGGCGACACACTATTACCAGGTGGAGAGACGACGATCGGTGGTATGGAGATTTCGCTTCTGCCTGGAGAGACACCCATTGCAGTCATCGAGGACTCGATATCCATTACAGCGACCGAGGCTGCCGAGAGTACTACTGGAGGATCTGCCAGCAGTAGTGTAACACGTGGTCAACCAAGCAGGACTTTGAGCAGCTCAACCGGAGAAAATACCGCAGCTTCCTCAGCAGATGTATTGCTGAGTGGGAAGTGGTCCGACTTTGTCTTTGGGAGCGTGTTTGTTGGCGTTTTCATTCATTGGGCTTGAATGATCGAGACACGATCACTGGGATTGGAGGCATAATGTTTTGTATGATAATCATGTTGCATTTTACGTTCAGTATTTTTTCTTCACATGAGAACGAGGGTTTGGCTTTCCATGGAGCCGAGGACTAATTGTATCATCCAAGGCAAGAAGCTCTTGTTAAGCCGTGCGTGTTGCACAAAAACATCAAATAAACTAATTTCCACGATTTCATCAGTGGCTTTTGTCCAGAGTTCGTGGTTGAGTTGATGCTCACTGCTAAAACGAGACTTTTGAGAAAGGGGATGGTAGAAGATAGGTAGTGGAGACTGTCAAAAACGGACAGAGGGAGAAATTGCAATTCATTCGTCCATTGCACTACTGTAGTGAAGACGATTGAGCGCTGATTGAATGGCGAATCTGTCAACTATCAGTAGCGCCAGTATATGACCAGCGCCGAGTGCCTGATGGGAGATCATGAAGAATGTTTCGTAAGGCTATTCTCAAGGAAATAATGATCATCGGATTGAACACTCGCACTTACGCAAATGGTGGGTTGGTTATTTCGAGGTCAAGTGCATCTCCTCCCGTACAGAATATGGGGCAAACTTGGTTCTGAATCAACCCGTTTAGTTTTTTCGAGTTGCAAGACGGCGTCTCGAGATAAAGTTAAAAGAAAACGCTGGTCAGAGAAGCGCGACGGATACACTGCAGGTATATAGACCGGGGATTGTTCGGAGAGACTTCGTGATGCAAGCGACAGTAGTCTCGCCCAGACCACGCATTGCTCTTCGTGGCGGAGTTTGACGGCCCAAAGTTTAGAGTTCAGCACCGTGTCTGGAACACAGCGCTCTGTAAAGAGTCAGATTTCCGTGTCAGCCTCCCGGCCATTCCAATCATCGGGCGCTGAGAGATAGTTCCAGGTTTGGTATGGGGTGTATGGGGTGGTATACGCATCTGCTGATCGCAGTGATCGATTGGGATATATGGCTACGGGTGGTCGTCACATAGGACGTATTAGTTGGAAATAGGGACGGAGACCGGTGTAGAATACACACTGCTGGTTCGGTCTACAAGTATTGTGGTGATGGACAATGTGCGAAATATATGTGGAAGATTGATGATGATCTCCTGTGTCCACGAAGACGCTATTTATCCTCTCTGAACCCTTTTCTGGCATTTTCATTCCGCTCAAACTGTTTTTCGTTGAAATTGTTGTGATGCTATCATTCCGATTGTTATCACTGTATTGATTGTCGTTTGCTCAAGCGAGCATAGGAACGATCAGCCACTTCATTTGACGGCTGCTCGCCAATCAGGATATTAGTGTAAAGCAGCGGCAATTCTTGCACTAAACACGTTTGATTATTGTCATAGCTGCCTGCTTATTTTGAACGACGCATCACGACAACAAATGCCGGGTGTCAGCCGACGTGCACGGACCCCCGAGATATTTTGAGCAACGGCATCTACCGGTGTCTGGCTTTACCAGGGTTGGTATGTAGAACCGGAAGATGGCTGACGATAGTTTTTGTCATTGCTCTAGATCGCCGGCTGCAACCGGATGTAGGGAAGCTCACGGAAATCGGTACTGTTCTACGTAGCCATTCTCTCTTCGACGCCATCCTAATCCAATGCTTGTTTTCCTTGCGAATATCATCAACGATGGAACAGGGCGAAGGAGTTCGCAACAGAAGGTTGTATTTGTGTCCAGAAACTACTAGCTGGCCTGTACAAGACCTCATCCGAGAGTGCCCCAGGTGTGGAGGTTTTGTATTGTATTGCTGTGCATGTAACAACCAGTCTCTTCATGACCTTCGAAACCAACCAACACCGATGCCCTGTCATCACTTCCGCATTGTATTCACGGATGGCGCGTGCAGAAACAACGGAAAATCTACAGCCAAATCGGGGATCGGGATAGCATATAGTAGTAATACTACAGGTCAATCATCTATAGCCATTACCGACATGCTGGACGACTTTGCGCTCCGGTCAAACCAACGAGCTGAACTTCTCGCGGCAATAGTTGGCCTAAGAACACTTCGCAGTACTTTCAAACGTAGAAATAAGAGGGAAGCAAGATCGTGGATCGTGGCGACCGACTCCGAATATGTCGTTAAAGAAATAACCAAATGGCTACGAACATGGAAGGTATGTATGTTTGAGCAATTTGGACGGAGTCGCTCAAGAGAATCTCGTGGCTGATTGTGTAGCGACACAATTGGCGCACATCCAAGCGCAAAAAGCCTGCAAATCTCGATTTATTCCGTAAACTTGATACCTTGATCAAAAGACTCGAGGCAAAAAATACCAAGGTTAGTTGTCACCCGCAAGGATATAGTGAGTGTATACGACACTAAAGCTGATCTAGGTTGGATTCTGGTATATTCAAAGGGAGCATAATCAACTAGCTGATCGTCTTGCAAAAGCTGCTGCAATCAATGGCACTGTAGCCACAACGTTGAGCTCAAGCACATGACGCGGATATGAACGGGGTTTCTTTTATTTTTGTGGGCTTTGTAGACGGCAGCTTGTATAGGGAACAAGGCCGGTTGAACCTATGCTAGCTCTAGCAGATCACCGTTGTCATCTTTGTCAAAGGTTCGAGGCATCTCATTGTTGTTGGCGCACAATGCGATCACCAGCGACTAGTTTCCAAGCACATTGTGCATCATGCTACAATACCCTTGAAAAGAACATAGATGTGACTCAAATCTATGCGTATTGTGGTATTTTTGCTATCTTTGTTCCACTGCAGTATCAGCAATGTGACGACACAGATTCTGGCGTCTGTTCTATCATAAAGAGAATTTCGCGTGACCGATTCTTTCTCCCATCCAATACCCAACACCCAAATACTCTAGTACCAATTGAAGAGACACAATTTTAATTCTCAAGAAGTGATAGACGCTTACAAGTCATAAGGTATCCAATGAGATGTGTTTCGACGATCCCCGTTACAACAGGCTTTTCTTCGCGAATCGTAAACGCACACAGCACACTACAGAAGAGCTTTGGCCACACCTATTTCCGGGGTTGCCTGTTCCAGACTGGTGGCTTCACTATGTTGGCGTAGATAGGCGAAAAGTCTGCCGGTGCAGCCGTCCTGCACGACATCCGGAGAAAACTTTCCGCCTTATCAAAGAATGGCCAGAACTAGAAGCGAGCGTAAAATTTTACATGGACCGCATGAATTACAAGGCGTTCAACATAGGCGAGTATCTGGATTATCAGCTAAAACGTGAGAAGTTGTGGCAAAGCGCTGGAGTATATATCCGCTCTTTCCACTGGGCGGATGCTGCCAGGATATTCGTGTGTCGTTGTGCCGAACGTACATGTTACAAGTATGGTATGCCCAAGAATATTGTACAACTAGAGCAATGTGCAGAATATTTTCTTCTCCATCGAGATAAAATAATCGTGTCGCAAGACAAGTGGGAGCGTTATAATGAAGATTCACCACCCCCGTACGCACCCAAAGCACAACCGGAGTCGAAATATTCTCGTCAGCAATACCAGCTTCTAAATAAACACGAGAATACTAGAAAGGTATCTCAGACAGTTCCTAAGTCGGAAATGGGAATGCGCGGCAGTGCGGAGCCACTGACCTCTCGCTTCGTAGAACCGCGCAAAGATGGTGCAGCAATCCAGCAAGAACTAGAGATGCCTCCGCAAGTTTGGCAAAATGGCCGCCCTTCTTTATGGAAACATTCCGATGGTATCTCTTCATCTGCAAGCACGCCCTTGGGTTCGTCGTTTTTCCCTCCATCAGAGGAACCTCGTGTACCGGCAACTGCTCCACTGGAAAACCGACCCGCTCCTTGGAATCGCTCCGATTCCAGCTATTTATCTACAACCCAATATCAAGGACAAAAGGGCGCAAGCGTTGGAGGCATGCATAGCCGTTCCAAAAGTTATGAGGCAGGTCATGCTCGGATGGACAGTGGTTTCGATATGCGCTCAATGCATAGTGGCCTAGAAACTATCCAAATTAGTAAGTCACCCACAAGCAATTCTCAAAGCTCTTCGAAGCTAGAACCAACCACGAGCACACTGGACACGCATAAGCAAGAGAACAGTGTGGATGGCTATACCCCTACCACTGATCTATATTTTCGCATCGCAGACGAGGACGAAACTAACATCAACTCAGTATATAGGCGATCCTCACCATTTTCTACCGCTAGCTCTCAAGATGTGCCATTCTTCTACGAAAACTACCTAAGTGATAATAGTCATAAAGAAGTAGTCAAAGAAGAAATTGCAGAACTGTCACCAGAAGCCTACTACCTTGGTGATAGACGTGCGATACCAGCTGGCCATGATAACCAAAACAAGGGATCCAATGGTCATGTTAGCGAGATTCCCGTTGAGGGAGTCTCAGCGGAGCTGCCGACAGTTGCGCCACGCCAACAACACACACCGACACTGAATGCTCTCGAGGGCCGCGACTGGGGCGCTATTCCTGAGATGGAAGCAAAGACGACCGATTCCAATGACAAAGGTGAGGAAGTACCGGTTCGCATGTCTTGCCACACTTATGACTCTGGATTGGTTGACTCACTCCTCGAACAGGTTTCGTATCTGGGCTCTTCTACGACCCTTGATCAAGACGTACAACTCCGACATCCCACTGACTCGTCTTTGAGAGACTCTGGATTTGGCAGTAACTCTGGGCATAGCGAAGAGCCTTCTCCGACCTTGAGGTCTGTTTTTCAGTACAACCTGACGTTAGCGGAGCGCATCAAGCAGGATCGGAAGGCCATCTTTGGTACGCAACGCACGCCATTAAAAGAAGAGATCGTGATCGAGTTCCCCCATCGGAGCGACGCGTTCAAGTGCTCTTCGGAAGAAGATTTGGCGGTTACGCAGCTTGCTCTGATCAAAGACCATGTCGGGATCAATGCAAAAGAGGTGTTCAGTCGCTGGAACGCCGATGACGCTGCACCTAACTGGAATGCAGATGTAATCCGGCCAGCTGTTCAATTGTTCATGGGATGGAATCGCTCATTTCGCACGCTCTTTTCCATGTCCCAGGAAGCGTTTCTTCGAGTAGTTGCCTGGGGAGAGCTTGTGCGCTTGATGAATCAGTCTTGGACAATTATGAAGTGCCAACCGGGCGAGAAGGTTATGTTTAGTCAGCTTGGACAGGTGCATCGCCAGTTCTTCAAGTCCAAGGCTACTTACGATAGGGAAAAGAAGGATTGGAAGATCAGTCGCTTTGAGGCGCTGGGCTGTGATATGATTACAGCGTATCTTGTGACGATGACGATAGAAATCGGTAGGAGCACGTAGAAGAAGAACATGACTAGGAGATTAAGTCAAGGGTGGGTGATTTGGCCCTTGAGGTCAAGAATTTGTGTAATAGAGGATGATATATCGAGATAGATCAGGATTGACCAAAAGTTGTACTTTCACAATAGAAAAAACCAGCAATTTGCTGCTTAGTTTACATATATACATAAGAAACACAAGGTTGCTATATCTTCATGATCTGTTCAAGCGCTCAGGTGAACAATATTCAAACATTTGCTCAAACACACGGAGATATGAATGCAGTGACACAAGAACCTGCTGCGTATTGTTGCCATACCCTCTTTCATGTCAAGTCATATATCATGGCGATTCTCTAGCCATTTGATCAGCTTGGCCATCTTACCCTCATGCAGATCCTGGCGACATGCATTACTATACACGTGCTGGAAAAGGCCCGATAGCTTTGTGAAGCTCAACTTGCAGCCAGGGCATCGAAATGGGTACACGCGTCCATACATTGCTTTTAAATCAACACGCTCGAGTAGTTCCTGGCGATATTCCTGGTCAAGGTACGCCTTCCACTGAAAGCACATGGCAGCCGACTGGTTTAAATCACGTATGTCGATTCCAGAAACGCATGTAGCCGCCTCGAGGTGGATGATCATGGCGGGATATGTGGGGAACTTCCTGCAGCAGCCATAACATTCAATCGTCCGCTCTAGATGGGTCATTTCATGCTGCGCGTTCTGTCGATGTTACTCCGAGCAAGGCTCAATTCAGCTCACATGTTCAAGGTTGCTCGGAGTCTCAAAATGCGTCTCACAAAGCCCACAAACATTCCCATCCTCCAGGTGATCGAGATACTCCTGTGATTCCGAGCCCCAGATGCGCCCCCTCCCATTGTTGCAGCCTCGGCAAATTGTTGCGTGTCTTGTCTGGTCGTGATGTGTGAGCAACTCGGCGCGAGTTGCTCCAACAAAGTCGCATGAATCACATGAATAGTGATCGGAGGCGTCACGGCGGTGTTGTCGCAGCGAGTATTGGTTTGAGAACTCGCGATCGCAGCGGGTACACCGGAAGTCGGGGCTGCTCTTGTCAGCTTAACCAGACGACAGCAGAACCTGAGATATATGTAGGACGGACTAGTCGCTATCACTATCCCACCAGAACATAGCGCGCGCACAGAAGGCCCAAACACGATCTGCTGTTAGTATTGGGAATAGTTGAAGGGTAATAGTGGAGTGGTGTTCGAATCGTGCACATACTTTCCCCCTTATTATTAGCACTAGGCTACTTTGAGGCTGGGATACTTGTACACAGCTACACACACAGTACGACGGCCCCACAACACCTATCTTTACCTTTCTCACGGTTACGGACCAGCCTAAATACATCTCGACACACGGCAAAGTGATTTTTGAAACGCCACTTGGTCTTGTCACGCTGGCTTACAGGAGATGGCCTTGTACCAACCAACCATCTACATTACTGACAGGTCAATGCCTGTCACGTGATATGCTCAATCCAGATGTGCACAAAGGCACGACATCATTACATTGCCTCACACACTGCAGCTATTGTTCGTGCACCAGAATAGCAATGTTTTTCCCTTAGAGTAGCCTGGGTGAATGCAAGATCAAAAAAGATTTTACAAGCTCGAAACAGCAACACCGCTAGTTCCGAGGCACCGGGCAGTAACATGGAAGAATTTGGAAGCGCAGATAAGAAGTCTCATTAGCAAGATGTTAAATGAAAGAAGCAGGTGGTGGAAATGGAAATGTATCTCATATCTTTCGTCAACCTCTGTGTAAAGTAAGCCATGACGCAGTGTTCCCGATGAATCATAATTTGCGCGCGCTGCCCACGTTTTTGCTATTACGGTTCGACGCATTTCTACTTGTGATAGAAACATGGCGCTGGATCGACAGGGCAGGAAAAGAAGTTTGTGTGGATTTCTAGTCTCAACCATAGTTCCCGTGCGCAATGACACTGATTATGGGCCAGTGAAGATGGAGGCATTTGCAAATCCCATCACTCTCACATCCATCGCTGTGAGCACTTTTCATACTCTGTCCAGTGAACAAGTGGAATATGATTGGCAGTGAAAGAGCATTGCGCCGTCTCACAGGCAGTGAATGCGAGTATAAAGTGAGAAAGTTGTTACTCCCCCCTCAACAGTAGACCAAAACAACTCTATCACAACCACAAGTTTTGTCCATCAACGATCAGAGCGAATACCATCATCATTAGACCCTCCGAAGAGACACCCTCATTTGATTTAACAAGGCGAAATTTTCGCTCAAGCTACGATCGTCGCTTCGCTTCTACCGCACTCAAGACAAAATCACGACTTCAACCTAACTATACTCAAGTCGCTTCGTTTCGCTCAAAACCGAAGCAAGATGTCGTTCTTTGTTCAACAGCAAACACAATATACGGCGCACTCGGGAATGGCAATACAACCCACGCCATACCAACCTTGCCATCTACCATCCGCATTCACCCCACAAGCTTCGTGGGATGATCCTGAAGCTTGGCTCAGGAACTCCACTCAAGACTTACTGAATGACCACCCTACATCGATAGTCCCCGGTATCAGCCCCGGCCAAGTCTTCTTACGAACACAGCAGATTATGGGACCATACACACCTCGGGATTTATGGAACGTTCGATGTTTGTCGCCGGCGGAGCGACATGAGATGTATGTTTCCTTTGGGGTTTTTGGTCGCACTATGCAAAGCCATGAGCCGAGATCTCCAGAGTACATTAGTTCTTTTGATCTTATCAAAGAAAAGAGCAAGGATATTGCCGAAAAGGAGGCACAGTGGTACGCTCAATTTGCTGATAAGAAGAAGGGGACTGTTGAGCAGCGGAGCGAGCGATTCAAAGCCATTGTGGTCGAACAGATGCACGCGGTTGACCTTAGAACTGTCTCCCAGGCAAGCAGCGCCTCTTCTCCGACTCAGATTGGCTCGCTAGAAAAACAGCCTGGTGCAGAGAACAACACTGCAATCGCCATTAATGATGATCAAGACAGCTCTCCAAGGCCGTTGCGCGGTCAGAAGCGCTATGCCCCAGAGCCAGAAGCCGGGGAAGACTGCCGACCCGCCAAACGAGTCACACCAGAACTGGACGAGTCAGTGCGACTGGAAAGGGAGGCGAAAGCCGAGGCGGAACACCAGCGATATCTCGCCCAGAAGGACATGATTGACCGTATCTACCTTGATGGCGGTCGCTCGCGGAAACCAACAGATCCCATATGGCAGAAGCTAGCGGCCTTTGATGCGTTCGAGGCCGCGAAGCAAATCCCAATGCCAAAAAAGAAACGCCGACAGTCACTGCCCGAGGAAGATCGGCAAGCATATGAACATCTAGACGAACGCTTCAAGCTTCCATCCCGCGACTTGGCATCATACCCACTGAAGACACCAGACAGGTACATGTGTCTCCACGTCGACTCGGGATGCGGAGGCAGCAAGGATTGTACCTGCCACAACCACGACTGTTGCCGCAACGGCTTTACCCTCCGCCAGCTTGAGGGCGCGATAAAGCGTAAGTATGAAAGGGTCTGTTCGAAGATTGAGGAACAGGCCTTTATACATGGCAAGATACCTCGGGAGCAGAAAAAATGGGATAATTGGTATAGCAAGGAGATGCGAGATCGAGACTCGACTCGCATCAAGGCTTGCATGCCACCACTGGAGTGGAAGCCTGACCCACGTATGGCAGGAGTGAATTTGGCTGCGCAGTCTTTGAAAGCTCCACGACAAGCCGCTGCCAAGAAACCTCGTGCAAAGCCTCAATCTGCGCTTGAGCGACTGCAAAAGAGACAGATGGAGGAAGCGATATCACAGACGACGCAAGCGGTTGTCGGAGAGGCGGAAGAGAGTGCAAGGAAAGAAGCTGAACAAGCTTTCCCTGTTGTACCTACGGAGGTGTGTGAGGGTTGTGAGCAGCCAGATCGGGTTTCCCTTCAGGCCGAGCATCAGGAGGCTGAGAAGCCAATCTCGACACCTGAAGAGAATATCCCTGAGAACAATGGGGATGGCGATCTGGACGTGGCCTTGTTTGGCGAACCAATTGTGATGGCTGAAGAGAACGCCCCCGAAGTTGGGGAAGATGGAGATCTGAACCGTTCCTTGTTTGGTGAGCCATCAAACGAAGATGGTAACAACGGCCTCGAGTTGGAACAACCGAGTGGGGGCTCCCAAGTCGGACTGTTGGACACTTCTGAGCTGGCGGACATCTTCAATCCTACTGTACCAGTTTCAGCAGATGGCTTCGACAATGATTTGTTTGCAGAGTTCTTCCAGGGGAGGAAGACATAAGGTGTCCTGTATGATTGCTGTATTCATTGCATAACTGTCATTGGGATGGTGGAGTTGTAGTCACGTCTGCAACATTGGTATGTCAGGTATTGTTGCGAGGCAGCAGTACTTTCTTAATGCTAATCGTGTTGATTGTATAGTTTCTGCTTGTTATAACGATCAACGTGTAGGGTATGTGATGTCCATAAAGGGAATTGCTCGCGTGACCGTCTTTGACATGCTTATTGTTGCGGCCAGCAGGACCAGCAAGGGCAGCAGGAGCGACTAACATCGAATGACATGGAGATGATTCAACTGAATCGAATAGCAAGAAACCGATACATGTATTGAAAGCAGCTATATGGTCGTGTATGTACATCGGGAGTCGAGTTTGCCTTACCCCACAAAAAGCCACATGGTTGGTGGCGACGCTAGTAAATAACACTAAGCCTAATGCTGAGTAGCCGGTGGGCCATGGGAGTCTGTGCGTCAACGCGTCATGCTGTCGTGATTGTACTGTACACTTACACTACACTATGCCCATCCACCACTCCACACCCTAGTCTACATCCCTTGATCCGCCCTACTCTCCTTGTATGTATACAGTGTGAGTGCACTGCATCCCGGTCTATCCTGATTTCGACCGTCATCAACGCATCCGTCATCTGCAATTATCTTACTCCAACTACACGCAAGCCGATCCGATATCCGATATCGCACGCTCGTCATCAGCTCCGCACATGGTAAGCAGCCCAAAAGAGCAGGTAACTGTTATTTTTACAGATTGGCGAGACCGTCTTGATCTTGCATAGCAATCGTATTCGTCGACTGGGAGCGCCAATCTTGTTTCGCACTGGCGCAGCTAGGCGAAGGTGGGAAGGTGATACCCGGACGTTGCCAAGCGGGAGTGTACCAAGCTCCGTCCCGGACCAGGTCCACCGTTGCATTACCACCAATTGGAGATACTTGCTCGCATCTTACCGCAAGCGGAACAAACCCAATATCTTGAGGCCCTTTCATCTTTGTTGTGGTACCTAGAGTTGGAGTAGCCGGCGCATAGTTAACCTTCAGCCCTCGAACCAAGTAAATCCATCAATCGCTGCTACGATTTCCACATCCCACCAGCGCCGAGGCGTCATATTCCAGTACCTACCACTTTCTGGCCTAATGGATTCTCACATACCCGGGGATCAAAAGTCAGCCCTACAGGCAATGACGCCCCCGTTACTGAGACTCCCTGCGGAGCTCTTACAACAAATCCTGGGTCACCTATGTCTTTCAGACCTCCTCTCCGTAGGGTCGGTAAGCCGGGTATTGCAGGAGCACGCAAACCAGGATATTCTTTGGCAGCGACTAGTACAGGCGGAGATTCCAGGGCCTGCTGTGTCCAAGCCAGTGCATCGGTCCTGGCGGGAATTGTTCAAGGAGCACCATCCTTATTGGTTTATTGCTGGAAAGAAGCTATGGTTCGCGGACAATGTGCACACTGGAAAGCTCATTGTAGCGCGCTATGATCATCGACTCAACGCAATCGAAGCATATGAACTTGTTGCCGAGCGCCGGATACCCGAGTCTCTGTCGTGGGACCAGCACCCAGATGCCATTATCCATACCTTCAGTCCTCGAGTACAATTGGATCTGAATGTTCCCGTAGTCCGACTGAACAGCAGCGCCTATGAAGAAGCGATTGGACGCGTCGGTCATCGACTGCAGAAGGAAATACCAATGAACTTGTCTCGACACGCAGTACTGCGCTCACATTTGCTGCTGACCAGACCCTGGCCCGAGAGTATCACGACGGAAGCGACGCCTGTGTGGCCTCCACTTACGGTGCCCAGTGTTCATCGCACTCGCAACGACCAGTCGCCTTCTGGGTTCACACAATCTGGGCACAAGCCTGGCTTACTCAACCAGCTGTCTACTTCGACATTTAGATTGCGCAAGTGGATGCAGTTTGCGACTCAGTCAATAAGATTCAACATGCGAATTGGCGAGAACATTTCAACGTGGGCGACGCTACCCGAGGAGTGCTACACTCCAACTCGACAAAAACCATGGCAGGGCATCTGGTGCGGCGATTATGCCGGGCATGGTTGTGAGTTTCTGGTTGTCATGCAGCCTGACGATCCAAGACCTCTTCCAGAACGAGCCGAGTGGGCTCTGCGAGCAGCAGAACGCGAGGAGAGTGTAAGCAGTGAGGGGTCATGGACTACTGCACCTACCGACGCAGCGCATTCTGACGACGAAGATGCCCAGATGGAAAGCGCCGATGATTTGGAAGATAGTGTCGCAACTCTGCAACAGTCATATCATGAAAGAGCATCGGAAAGTCGCGGCCAAGCTGACGCACGACACGACGGCGATGCAGTCTACCGTGGCCGGATCGAAGCAGTCAAGTTGACGGGTGACCCGAACATACCGAGAGGAGAGTATACGTTCATTGCACCTGACATTGGCCCGAACGGGTTGTTGAGGGTGGCAAGCGAGGAAATCTTTCAAGGCGCGCGAATAGTACGGAGTGTAGGGCACATTGCAGCTACGGGATTTCGAGATGGTATGTTATTGTAAATGCGACACGAGTGTGACGACCGCTTACCTGGGGGTCAGATAACTATATGGCATCGCAGCTCATTCTAATATCTCATGACCGGATCGCGCAATACTGGGAGACGTTTGGTCACGTGTCGTTTTATGAGCGAGTGGACATTGATTCGTTCACAAGGGTTTAACGGTAGGGATACGGAAGGCTATGGAGTGCAGGTTTGAGCGAGTCTCTACACAAGTGTTTCTTTGGGGGGTTTTCATGGTTTGAACAGATACAATATCTCGAGTGTGTCTGGTGTTGATGGGTTTTAGGCGCAGTGGAGAGCGGAGGCTGTGATGATCTGCGAGGTAGACGACCCCATGCCTCATCGGGACTAGCGCGTCGATCCCTGGCCATGCACCCTGGGAACGTCATCATCCATCACCAAAATTCGCGCGGCGGCGAAAGCGCGGGCGGCGTTTCATCGTCGCAGCTTTCCTTCTTAGCCATATCCGCCTTTTTTGTAGTTATTGATCAGTCACCAGGTTATCCATCTTTGGCACCCGAATCAGAAAATCCCCCCCCAAAAAAGTATTCGCACATCCACAAATACTGTATCAGAAGACATGACGAGCCACGAGCAGTACATGCTGCGTGTGACAGCAGGACCGACATACGATGTGTCCAAGCATGAGGCTGTGCCTGTGAATCGCGAGAAGCCAGTGAGCATATTGTCGGACCATATTGACGCGAAAGTGCATATGCGCATCAAGGACTATCGCGGTACATTTGCCCCTCATGCCCCGCCCATCAGTGACTAACCCTCAGACTCCAAAGGACTACCGGAAGGCTCGCCGTCAACATCACCATACTTTTCCACGCCCCAACACCCATACGATCGGTACTCGATATCGTTTTCCTTTACCCCGAAGCAGGACATTGCGGGCGACAAGCTTGTGTTTGGAAACGACTTTGACCATCCGATTCGTGACCGGTTGCCGCCGCTGTTTGACAAGGCGTTTGGTATCGTCAAGTGGTGGATTGATCCTGGGCTAGATGGCGATGTGTACGCAGACGAGCCGTACCTGTACGGGGCGCTGCTTTCGTCCATCAACGTCTTTCGCATTGGCAGTAAGAAGGACGAACATTCTGAAGACAAGGGTGCAGAAGGAGAGGCACAGACCGAGGATGATGTAGAAAAGAGCGGTTCAGAAGGCGAAGTGGTTGTATACGAAGAGGGCGCTGATGGCGACGGTGCTGCGATTAGGAAAGAAAAGAGTATACCCGACAAGGCGGGCGCCCGGCAAAAGTTTTTCCTCAGTGAGCAAAACCGCAAGGACTTTACCTTTGAGGCAGGCAGAGAGTACCAGTGCGATTTTTTCAACCCGTATCTGGACTTCAACGAGTTTGCGCTAAAGATCGGTTACGGATTGCCAAACATTTCCATGATCAGACATTGGGACGGACAACCGTTGCGGTAAGTGGCTCCATTGCTCCAGTTGTTTGGGTTTATTTTCCCGGGACATAATCACACGTTGATGTTTTGTTTGGATCGGGATGAGGAGCTGACGCGACCATTCACTAATCAGTTCGCACACCCTTAGGTATGTGCTCAAGAACCGCGAGACCAACCAAGAGCTCTTTGTTGTAGTCATTGAGCTGCTGCCCACGGAGCAGGCCAAGAAAGAGGGTGTCGAGGACGCGGAGGAAAAGTTTGCAGAGGCCCATGGTAAAGAGGGGGAGAAGGAGGCAGAGAAAGACAGCAAAGACGATGATGTGGACTAGGACATGACGTAGTCATGCATGATGCGCAGGGTGTCTTGGAGGGTATGCATCAGCGCGGCGTTATGGGATAGGAATGTATGATAGATATACACGGCTATGGCTGGCTTGGTTGGATTTGCGCAGGGCGGTATTTTTTTGGTGGCATTTCAAGGGCTACTACTTACAGGCAATGGGACTGGCTCTCCCCACGGGGTTACGGGTGTTGCTAGTTGTAACCCGCTGTCCAATCAACAGTCTTGTCAAGACGAGACGCCAGGGTCAAGGCCACGCGCTTGTCAAATGCAAAAAGTACCGAGTGATGAAATCGGAAATCTTTTGGCATGGATTCTTTTTTTTTCGAGCCATCTTCTCTATCCATGGTTTATTTTCCCGCTTTGTCGACTACTGGCATAGCAGTGCGCAAGCCGCGGAGAGGACGGATAAACCCGCGGCTCCGAAGTTCGGCGGGCTGCAACTCCAAAAATTCCCAGGCGCATAACATCCATTTCTTTTGTGTCACAGCTTCATAATGGCCGCACGCACGTTGAGGATTGGTAAGAAATCCCCATGCAACACTCTCAACCCCCAGCGGCTGGCTTGTAAAGGCCAATTGGTGTTTCCTCTCCGCCACAACATCAACTACAGCAACACCAATTGCCCACCCGCTCACTAACCTCAACAGGTCTCATTCCTGGTGACGGCATTGGCCGCGAAGTCATCCCCGCCGGCCGTCGCATTCTCGAGGCTCTGCCCTCATCTCTGGGCCTCAAGTTTTCCTTCTCGCACCACGAGGCGGGCTGGGAGACATTCCAGAAGACGGGCGCTGCTCTGCCTGACAAGACGGTCGAGGCGCTCAAGTCCGACTGCGATGGTGCCCTCTTTGGCGCCGTCAGCTCGCCCACGGTCCAGACCAAGGGCTACTCGAGCCCCATTGTGGCGCTGAGGAAGAGGATGCAGCTATACGCAAACGTGCGCCCTGTCAAGAGTGTCCGGGGAGGTCTGCGTGACGTGGACCTGGTCATTGTGCGCGAGAACACCGAGGACCTTTACGTCAAGGAGGAGAAGACGTATACTGCCCCCGACGGCTCCAAAATTGCCGAGGCTATCAAGCGCATCTCCGAGACGGCCTCGTTCAACATTGCCGCCATGGCCGGCGACATTGCCCTGCGAAGGCAGCGCGTCCGTGATGCTGGTGGCAATTCCATCCATTCTCGCCCACTTGTCACAATCACCCACAAGTCCAACGTCCTGTCTCAGACCGATGGCCTTTTCCGCGAGACCTCGCGCCGCGCTCTGCAAGACGCAAAGTACCAAATGGTTGGCGTCGAGGAGCAGATTGTCGACTCCATGGTCTACAAGCTATTCCGCCAACCCCAGGACTACGACGTCATTGTCGCCCCCAACCTCTACGGCGACATTCTGTCCGACGGTGCTGCCGCCTTGGTCGGTTCCCTCGGTCTCGTTCCCTCTGCCAACGTTGGCAAGGACTTTGTCATTGGTGAGCCCTGCCATGGCTCTGCCCCCGACATCGAGGGTCAGGGCATTGCCAACCCTATTGCTACTATCCGATCTACTGCCCTCATGCTCGAGTTCATCGGCGAGGAAGAAGCTGCCGCCAAGATTTACTCTGCTGTCGACGCAAATCTTGAGGAGGGTAAGCTTTTGAGCCCAGACATGGGCGGTAAGGCGAAGACGGACGAGATTATCGAGGATATCTGCAAGAGGTTGTAGCCCTGTTTGCTTTTTGGCTAAAAGCTTAGTGCGACTTATTCTGGCCCTGTGTAGCCCTGATTGGTTCAGTGGATACTTGATCGAACTGGCAAGCTTATGAATCCGGATAATTATAGTTTAGAAATCAATTAGTCCGGAAGCTTCGGACACAGGGGACACGTTAGCAACGGGCGACGCAACCCCTTGTGGTGATTTTCCTACACTTCCCCGCAGAATTATCCCTGGAATTAACTACTAATGCTACCAATACTTATAGCAGTATCCCTGTTATAGCTCGTTTGTTTATGGCATTCTTCTCGCTTGTTTCCCACTCCATGCACCTTCGCTAATAACTCGATCAATCTTGCCAGCGAAGCCTTTGCTCTCCCATGTTCAAAAGCACATTGACATCAATTCTGCTCTCTAGTAGTGTATCTGTAATTGAATCGATATCATGCTGTGTTCCTTAAGAATCCCACTAAACTCAACTCCATGGATTGATCTGCATTTGTTTGCTTTGCTTCCCCGCGGGGACATCTCTGTAAGCTCACATATAACAACGCTCGTAGTGTACGGTACTTCAACGGAGATTGAATTTCAATCTCGAAGATTAGTCTCCAACATTTTCGGAAACTAACCGCCTCGTTCTTCCCTCCATGGAAGCGCTGGTAATGCTCAGTATAGGATGTTGTAGTCTATACGCTTCAAGGAACGTAAACTTATAAGTATTTATCTTTTCCAGCATTTATTCGTCCTCACGCCTCACAGCATTTCTTAATCCACATTCCATCCACTTGACTGCACTCTCCAATCCCTCGTTCAGTTTACCATCTTTTCACATATCAAGAATGTTCGTCTCTACTATCGTTCTTGCCCTCGCCGGTGCCGCTAGCATCCTTGCCGCCCCTGTAGCCGAAGCTGCTCCAGCCTCAGCTGTTCAAGCTCGGGATATTCCACCTCTCGGCAGCTGCCCATCCTGGAAGGGCATCTATGGTCGCGCTGGCTCTACTGTGTGCTGCGTATACAGCGGTGGTCCCGTAAGTTTTCATCTCTTAAAGACTTACATCCACCTTGACAGTTAAAAACTAACACGTTGACCCTCCTACTCACAGACATCGTGCTGCGTCAATAACTCGCCGGTTAGTGTGTACTTCCCCGAGGTGAATTACACGTACCTTTCTTGCCAGTCACCCTGGTTCGTAGATATCAACAACTTCGTCCACTTTTCCAGCTGCTATATTCCCAGCAACCTGGGCTCCGCCAACTGTGCCGATGTCCCTAAGATTTACGGAAACTACACTTCGTAGAATATTATATGTCTTTGTATGGAGAAATGGTCAGATACATAATAGCTAAGAATTTACTGATTTAATATACAAGTCTTATCTTGTGTTCTTATTGATTTCATGGTCACGCTAGCAGGTGCTCTTCTATCATGAATTGAACACGTAGCGAAGCGATAATTGATGCAAGAAATGAATATTGTAATCGCAAAAACTCGATAATATACACAAAGAATCAAGGCGCTCATACCTTCATCTCATCTCCGCTTCTACCTCACGAATGAACTCCTGAGCCTCGGCAATCTTCTCCTCCGTACTCTCTATTATTCTTTATACTTTCGTCTTAAAATCTAGATCACGGCCACTATCCGGCCCTGCGAAGCTTTCTCGCAACGCGTACAGATTTTTTTGAATATCAGCAATCTCGTATTACAGCACGTTACGCATTTCGTCCTGTAATTCGCCCACGAGATGTGCAAAATAAACCCTGGCGTGCTTTCCGTATGTCCACAAACAATCATTCAGAGCCGAATCGTCCTACGAACAACGCCCTTTTCAAGGCCGTGCACCCGTCGCCTAGAGCTACATCAACACTGTACCACAAAGAATTGTGCTGATAGAAAACGTACGTACCATTTCTACTATTTGCTTCGTTATACTTCTTCTTCATGCACTCTCCTACAAACGCCGTTTGCAAAGACCGGAAGTGCGGCTTTGAACCCAAGACTTTCTGTTTTATTATCGAGGCATTGCCAAGATGAGTATTTATATCCTCCAACAGTCTTTTCGTGTCATTAGTGAGCTCCCATTGGTCCCCATTCAAAATCTCAAAAAAACAAAGCTTCTCAAGCATGTTTTCTGTCTTGTTTCAAACACGCAATGGCTTCATTGTCCCAATTGCAGTAGCCAAAGGCTCGTGAAGAATGGTCTCCTTTATTGCAAGAGAATGCCGAGTACGTAGCAGCGTTTCACTAGTACTTCATCGACAGATATTTCGTCAAGTGACATTCATACCCAGAGGTTGAATACATAATCCATGCCATGACTTGCCAGTGTCTTTGACATATTCCGACCACCTTTTAGCCGAGGAAACTTAAGGGATTTTAGTGAAGAGAGCAGGAATTGAATAGATTCAATCAGAACATACACATAAGATCCTCTATCGTCTCCTGGACCTTCTCTTGCAAGACGCGTAATATAGCATTAACCAAGATGTCTTCGTCTTCAACTTACAAGAGAATGTCGGCATGACGTTTTGGTCTTGCTTCAAACAGCTACGTGAAGATATTGACTGCATTGGACGCGTCGCGCGGCTCTCAGCATGTAACAGTCCAGCGGTTTCGTACCCTGAGCATGAACCCATCGATCTTGTGTAAAACTTAGCAAATTCTCTATTGTTCCCGTGTAGCGTTTTTGCCGCCGGAGTTTACTATAGCTCGACCGAAATAGGGAATGCTGGGAGTTCATGATGGATTAGTTGCCTCGAGATCTGGTAATTTCTCTCTACGACGATACTAATGCAATGTCGCCGAACATCTGAAATGCTGCTGATGCGGATGGTGGCAAGATGTACTGCACCAGTGAGAGTCTAGTAGCGACTGAATCATTGCGGATATGAATGAGCCGGTGGGGAAACTTGCTCTCTTTGCACTTTCTGTCTCTATCTCCAGGGTATGATGTTCACTTAACAACCTTTGGTACCTCTCATTTCCCTCGAGATTCTCGATTCAGAAATTCAGATCCTCTTCTTCGGCCGGAACTTCTGCTACCTCATTGGTAATAAAACGTATGCTCTCCACTTCAATTTGAAGCTCTCCAGTTCCATTCTTGTGGTCTGGCCATTCAAACGCGGCATTTACAGTATTCACATCTTCGGACTTGGAGCCTACTATCTCGACTTTGCAGAATTTCGCGTCTTGCGCTAGTCTCAATATGTTACCGAGCCGTTTCTCGTCAGTAGCTCGTTCGACAGGTAGAACGGCAAAGATATGGTCGCATTGTTGAGTGTATTGCTCCGCGATTTGTGCGCACACAGGGTTGTTGTCGCAAAGCTCAGGCACATCCGCTAAGATGAGTCCTTTGCTCAGTATGACTGCTCTCAAGTATACTTCTGTATATTCGATCGAGGGTCAACACGTGTCATATTGTAAACTCGAGGCTGAATTACCAGCCCCCCCCCGAAGTCATGATGGCCAGCCGATCAGTGCACTTTTGGAGGATGGCAAAGCATTCGTCGTGTCGCATTCCAAGACTATCATACGAGACGCCAAGAAAATTACGTACACGAGAATTTTTCAGCCTCAACATTTCACGGCTATCGTGACATTGTGATGACGGTTTCTGGATATCTTCGTGCTTTTGAATTTCATTATTCACCACGAGAATTGCCATAAAGGGGTCGAATTGGAGGCGGGAAGACAGTCGTGACCCCCTGCAAGTGTCAGTCTGGAAACAGCTCTCCTTGCAAACCAACATACGATGGCCAGACCTGGGCTAGATGCGTCCTGCACTTTGCATTTTAGATCCTATTTGGCCCCGTTCACGAAACATCGCGATCGATAAAGCAAGTCATGATACGGCATACAGTGCAAGAAAGCCGAAATAACGGTCCCACATATGTGGGTACTAGTGGATCCTGTTCAAGAACATTTCCACGACTCCACGACTCTTCTCGTATACGGTCTACCTGATTTAGCAGGAGCTTTCCAGCAGAGTTTTTTTGTCGAGCTCTTGCACTGCAGCCATGTCTTTGATTGGAAGAACGAAGCGACTTATTGTCGAAATAGTTACCATGCTCTCTATCTTACCATTCGAGCAAAAGGTTTGTTATACTCGGATGTGCCTATATGTGGAAGAACGTTTGGTTTAGATACCGGCCTTAGTGTGTATATGCTGACGCTGCACAAGTTAATACCATTGTGATCTCACCGGCTCGCAGCTTTGGTGATACGCAAACTGATGTGCACAATATTTTTGATTTGATACAATAGATCGTGATGCGAAGTGTGAATCTTTATGCGGTAAGCAATGGGGCATCAAAGCTTTCATCGAGATTTAGGTAGGGGAGAGACAGGTTGTGGATTTGTTTTGGAGAACCCCTCAATATTTTTAATGTATGAATGATATGCAAACGAACATACCGGTATGATCATTTGTGATGCATGAGCGGTATTGACTGCTGAAAATTCCGGGTGTCGAGATATTTGCGTTTACATGACTCGTTTTGTGGAGAACGCTATAGGTGACGTGGTCCTTCCTATCATGCGATTCATGTCTGGTTATGCAAAGCCACAATCCATGTATTAAATGTCTTCCAGCACGGTTTTCGAGTCGTACGACGATATGGTGAGCGCGTAGCGCTTCGGTTTGTTGTACTAAACTGAGCCATCTTATTGTTCCCGAAGTTATCCATACGTCATTCGCCTATAGCATAGTTACTCTCCACGTTCTATTTCTTCAATCAGATCGCTCGAGAGACTTCGAAGGTTTATGATCAATTTCATTTCCTTTTCACGAATTGGCAGGAACCCAAGGGAGGGGGGGTTTTGTTTTTTGACGTATCGCTGTATCAGGCCTAGCTTCTTCGTATAGTGGGTCTATGATCTTAACTGTCGGGTAACTTGCAGTTGCAAAGTTTGATGTTGTTTGCTATCGAGAGTGTTCTGATCCGAGCTTAAGAAGTACAACTCGCAAACTCTGAGCATCATACTTGTGCTATCATTGCGTAGGCCAATTCCAGGATAAGAGACAAGACGCAGCACAAGATTTGTTAAGTCAAGTTACCTTGGCGGCATTTGTCATTATTATGTATAATTCATTGCATTCTGCGATTCAAAAGGCAGTTGATAATTCATGATCTAGCGTAAAGGTTGATTACATTCAGAATACGCATCACTTATTCCTGCCCTCTGAATTGTGCGCTATTTCCTACAGGGGATGTTGGTGGGCGACTTGGACGGACTCACAACGAAGTCATCATATGCGACGAGACTCCCACTGTGTGGAGTGAGGTTCGGGGAACCGTTCGTACCCTTGGTCACAGTGAACCGACTCGAGTAGCTGCAATTCCAAAGTTAGAATTGTTTCAAAAACTGCCATGGTGTTCGAGGAGCGGTGAAGATAGGACGTACTATGCCAGAGAACAATTGCCACCGTCAAAAGTAGTCTCAATGACACCAAGTACCTGGTAGGTCTTCTGTGCAGCGGTCTCTGAGGAAACAGTTGTTACATTGGGAAAATGATCCCAATGCTTGTTGCCCGCTGGTGGGAGTAGCGCCTGTTTCAACGCGACAATCTGCTCGGCGCCGGTGGCAGTGTTTGTAAGAACAATGAGTTTTCCATCGTTCGTAAAGAAATTGGTGAACCTTGTGGTAGCGGCGGGATCCTCAGCAGACGCATAAAGCCTACAAAGGAAACTTAGTTATCTGCCTCTAGAATGTATTTGCAGGGGACCTTGGGCAGCATACTCCTGCAAAAAGGGCTTAAACGCTGCATCAACTCCAGTCCTTGCAGAGTAGAGGGACATGTCAACTGATGCAGCCATGCCCACAAAGCACGCAGTGGCGATGATAGACAGTAGCTTCATTTTAGTGATTTTGTATCGAGGATCAAACAAGGCAAAGGTGTAGTGCATCATCAAATGTTTGGGGTTTTGGATGTTTTTATACCCAGGCATGCCAATACCGCCGCCGCGTTGCTTCGTAGAAAGGATTGCTCCTCGACTCACACCGGCTCTTCTTAGCATTGTCGAAGATGGAATAGTCCGACACGTCACCTGGGTTTCGCGGCAAAGGTTGTTGACCACCCCCATAAAAGTTATTCATCACCCCTATGAGCTGGGCCCCCCTTGCTTAGCGTAGGCTGTAATGAAATTTATAGTATCTTGCGTTAACAAGGTAGAAAGGAAGAGAGATGAAGAGAGCGAAAATGCGCCCCTCTACCTCATCTCTGATTCCATTTCTTCTCCTCCTATCTATTTATCTTTCCTCTCTCCCTCTCTCTTCCCTGCGTTTCTTCCGCTTTTTACTTAACTCTAATCTCTTATGATAAGAGTAAGAAAAAGAAGAGAATACAAGAGAGAGAGAGGAATGTAAGAAAGAGAGAAACAGGCCTCAATTTCAGATAGTGTTACACTAATGCCGACCCCTGCCTCATGAGGGTGATGAAGAACTTTTATGGGGAGGGTCAACAACTTTTATTGGGTTTCGCCTGCTAACCGTTGAGACTAGAGTCGGGCCGAACAGTCGAGTCGGGCGGGGCAAATCGTGTACTTAGACTGCACGATCTGATATTGGTAGCCCAGAGCGGGTGTTGTTGAGGCGTTCGAATACTTTTGCACTCCGCTCTTCCTACTCGTCGTGACAACTATCACTCACGCGTGGATCTTCGTTTGCTTCTACTAATTCTCTAGTGTTTATGTCAGGCGTGATGGTACAAGGCTTCCCAAAATGGTAGGCCCGCGCGCAAGGATAACGGAGATTACTCCTTCAGGATTCAAAGGTATCCCGGGTAGATCTAGCTTTCAGATCTTAGTGCGTAACCCTACCGGATGTACCGGTGTTGGGACACAAACTCAAAGGATTTTATCAGCAAAGCCCTGATTTCGGTGTTCATCACGAGAGCCTCTCGTACACCACTAGACTTTAGAGCTTCGGGTCTGTTATCGTGCCATCATAGTAACTATTGTTATATCTAGAACATGTATTTGATGAACAGTGTGTCTCCCCAAGGCAGTATTTCTAACTCGAACAAGTAGTTTTGAGAATAACGCTACAAATTTTGACAACGGGGCCCAAACCTTATTTCTAGTCTGCCCTCGTCATACTCTACCCCAAAAATAACCTATGCGGCATGCAGTCATCTTGAGAGAGAGGTGGACTGATACATTTGGCAGAAAAATAACTAACGGAAGCCAGCCAATCCAGAGATCTCGCATCTTTCCGCCATTGACGCTGAACTCCTTAGGCCAGATCATTGGTTACGACTTTTTGTTCACCTGCCGCCTGAAAAACGGGATTAAACAGCGCGGCAACTACACCATCGACCATATCAGCAAGGCATGGCCGACTTTAGAGTCGGTGAAAGAAATGGCGCCACCGCTATGGCCAGGGTATCCACTGACTCTGCCCCGTTAGCCCCCACCAGTGGCAGCATATCTGCGGCTGATGTTCGAAGTCCAGACCTCGCTAGCAGTGAGACCGTGCACTGGTTTCTTCAGGGCAAATTTGAATAATTGCCTTGTTGTGATAGCTTACAAGGTATCGTTGGGACAGATGAACATCAGTGGCAGCGTCGCGCCCATTAATCGCGCAAGACATTCCAGGGTTGTTGACGATAAAGATACCCACAGGGATAAGAATTGGGGGATGAGACCCCCAACTGCTATTGCGCTGATGGGGCTGGAAGTGGTAGTGCCTGGCCCAGCAAGGATTGCGTTGTATGCGAGGTCCCATGACATCCATATATTAGTGCTGGTTAGGGGCATATTGAGTGAGAAAGAGTATTCGGGAGTGTGATACATGTTGAACTAATTGATTCCTGGGACGGCTGATTCTGACTATGGGCTACGAAGAAGGCAATATCGAACAAGATTGTGGACATTTCCTGACCGTCATGCTTGCATAGTCTTCACTGCCGCAATCATGTTCTCTCTTCGGGATAACTGTTTTCTTTTGCTCGTCGTAGGCACTAGTCCTTACGAAACCCTGCAAATTACAGCCGGTAAATTTTCGAAGTGCACCAGCTAATATTCACGTTGCGTTTGGTCGGATTACATAAGGAGGATAGGAAGTTCGATCCGAATTCATCATATCCACATTGAGATAGCTTTGCAATCAGCAATGTAAAATGAATGACTAGCTACCTGAATTTTGAAAGTGTCGACAAGTGTCATCTTCAACTCACAGCAACCACAACGTACTTTCAAACCCAATGTCTGACATGTTGCAATATCTTAATTGTTCCTATCATACCTTTCCCTCACTTCTCCCTCATTGTATCCTTCATTTTCACGGTTGCAAGCACTACTATGCTTGCTGCTAATCCCGCTTCGAAATTTCACTCTGTAGCGCAGGTACAGATGCAGCAAAGGGATACAACTAGCCCAAAGTGTGGAGTCATTAGCGATTGCAAAAGGCCTTCAAATACCCATATGCATGTAGGACACTCTAGCAGTCTCTGCATATCACGATTGTGTTTCTATGAAGACACGTTTTTATAAGAGATTACTGTAGCAAGGACATGAGACCGAATACAGGTGACAGTTTCTGCTAGCTTCCTGGCCTAGGTATTGTATTCTAGATTGCGTTCCGTTGCGTTTCAATATTTGCCCTTGTTTAGTATGTCCAAAGACGCAATTGAAAGTCTATGCTTGCATGTCTTGTCTGACTTCTGGCAGCCATTGTTCATCTCGACCAATATGTCCATTGATATCACTGCATAGAGCGGCTCCACTAAGTGCTTCGGTCACAACCGCGGAATGTAAAAATGCGTATTTGACTCGGATGTGCTCACTGTGAGGATGTCCATCGTGGATTTGTGTCTCGCCATTTTATCTCTCAGACACTTGCCTTGTCCCTGCCTGATCTTTCTTCTCACCCCCGTACATTCGCGGGTATCTTTCAGCATATATCATCGGTATGGGATCTATTTCCATTGATAGCAACTTGAATCATGTACTATTAATATATGGAAAAAGACCAGGTCTACACCCGTTACTTGTTGTTTCCGGTAGCGACACCCCAAAAATACGCCGCCCATGCACCGGCGATGAGGAACAGAAGTACAGTGAACAAAGCCATGCTGACGCGTCGATTCTTCCTGCCTTGGGCCCCATTGGCGAACGCCTCCTTCCGCTCGTTGATCATATCGCCGTTTCTCAGTCTATTTTTTCGAGTCCATTGTAGGTGGCCAATGTCTGGATTGGAGACGCCGCATGCCACAAGGGCAGCCGCGACGACAACAGATCCAGCCGCGAAAACCACATACACAATGACCACATTATCATAGGAGTTGTTATCGCGATCCTGGATGACACCGGTGATGATGCGGATGATGATGTTCATGCTGTTGTTCACAGCAATTTTGATCGCATATCCTGAACCAAAGACTTCCTGATACCACATGGATGTGCGGATGGAATCGACGATGACGGTTGGCCCGAACATGGATGCAACGCCGAATATGCCAAACGAAGCCGCTGTCCCACCAATGGTTGGACCCCAGGCGGCTAAGCACATGGAAATAAGCATGCCCAGGCCGCAGAACAGCATAAGGGATAGGCGATTCCCAAGCAGGTCGACGAAAATACCAATTAACGGTACCAAGAAAAACCCCAAGTATTGCGACATGGCCGAGTACCACCCAGCTGTCACTGCATCAATATTGAAACGTAGTTCAGCCATCTCGGTGGCATTCTGCGAGTAAACGATTGCTGTGCTTGTTTGGAAAAGTGAAAAGGCAACGACCCCCCAAAATGTCCAGGGAAGCCTTAAAGTTTTTCCGATTTCAAACTTCTTGTTGCTCTCCGTCAACTTTTCACCCGTTGCTGGATCAGCAGTACCGGCATAAATTCTCATACACCATCGCGCGAAGAACCAATAGATGAGTGTCATGAAGTTGGTGAAAAGGTTCATGAAGACCGCTGTCCAATACACCCAGCTAAAGTCTCCAGTCTTCTTTGCGATGACATTGGCGGTCGCTTTGCCAACGAAGGATCCGATCTTTCCTATTCCCAGCTCGAATCCAAGCGTAGAAGCGAAACCGTTGGAAGGCGCGAACCACGAGCTGAATATTTTGTACTGGGCGACCTGGGTAGCGATGTCTCCAAACGCCTGTACGACAACCCCAAATATCATGAATTTGTAGGAACGGACCGTTGTCGCAGCAGCGATGAATATGGCACCAACACTATAGATGGCGTTGCCGTAAAGCATAGCATCTATGGCTGGTTGTCAGTCTTCGTAACGTTGATACAGAGAGGGGGCACCGACTTGCACCACCAATTCTATCCGTGACAAGACCGCTTACAAGGATGAGAGCCGTTTTCATGAAATCTTCGCTTGCCTCCAGAACAGCATATTTGGCGTTGTTGATGTGTAATTGCTGTTGATTGTCAAAGCACGCTAGCGATATGTTGTGAGGGTTGTTAATTATACCTTTTTCAGTGTGCTCTTCATTGCCGCTGTCACACCGCTGCTCCAATGGGACCCAAACCCAATCGCCGTCACCAAAAGAACTGCAAACAGCTTCATCTTCATGGGGACGTCATTGGCTTGGGCAACTGAAGCGCCGCTGCTTGAAGCTTCTGCATTGCTGTTCTGCTCTTCGGCATTGTGAGTTGGGCTGGACTTTTCATTGACAATACCATGTCCGTGACCAATGGCAGAAGGTTCAGTGTCCATGGTCATAAGATGTGGCAGGCGTCGAGGGGAGGGTGCAGGCATTTGATCAGATAAGATGAGCAGCCGGGGCAGCAATGGTAGGCGGGTTTTGTATAATCATCTGGGACGGGTCGAGCTACGCTAAGCGTACGGCTCCACCGTCAGCCCAGTGTGTGTTTCGGCCCTTTCTCTCGACAGCTCATGGTGCAAGAGTTGTTGAATGGTTCGGGCTCAGTAAGCATTCTGTCAGGTTCGCGACGGGAGCATTGGCTGACGGACTCTGCCCAGTGCCCTCTTCACAAGTTGATCCTGTCGATCTGGCTCCAGTTGCAATTACTGGACTGTACCGCGTAGATGTTAATGTACATACAATAAATGGCGACCCTCACATCATGTTTGATACCCCAAGCTTTCATGGCACATGAGGGAGCTAACGGCTCGGGGTCGCCATAGGGCATGCTTAGTGTCCAGGCCAAGTGGACCGTGCAAGTCGAAAATTTTATCAGATCCTGCCTGATAACGTGCCTGACATGGTATATCAGGAAGCGTTGCGATATCGGGCTTAAGACACGGGGAGCGCGACAGGTTTGGGCTAGGCATGTGCCGAAAGTGGAAACCGAGATGCGCCCTCGCTGTCCGGATTGGTCTGGTCATACTAGATTTGATGTGAATTGGGACACAAGTTAGTATGGGTGTAGGTAGGACGCATATCTTGAACCGATAAAGCAGAAAATGGGTGGGCGACGGATGGACAGATGGGAGGACGAGACGGTAGGAATCGCGAAAGCGCGTCGCGGGTGCGCCAAGGCTAGCGGCTCTCCTTGGCACGCTAACCTTATTCGACGCCTGTGCTCTGCGGCCAATCGTTGATGCTTGGCTTCTCACCACCTAGACTCTGTTCAGGCATACTGTATGGATAGTAACAGCCAGCTGAGCATGTCTGTGCGACATTGCTATCTAGAATATTGGCAATAGTATACCGAGCGGGCGTTGTTATGCCAAACAATTCGTACACTACACAACAAAGCGCGTTTGGCCATTGACGCGCAGAATTTGCAGCCAGCCAGGTGATTGAGCACTGGCAGCATCCAATCAACATTTTGCCCTGTCGAGCTACCACCCCGACGAAAAGATGGCCGATTTCCAAAGTGTCAGCAACCGGTTTCTAGCCTGGTTCAAGGATTGCGGAGGCGTCTTCCGCGACGATCTTCTGGAAATTCGAGACCTAAGGTCCAAAGACGCCGGCCGCGGCATCAGTATGTTGAACATCATCGCAGCCAAGGAGCCATGGCACCATTGACTTTTCTGCAGTTGCGAAACAGGATATTCCAGAGGACACCACCCTCTTCACAATACCAAGGAACATCATTGTTAGCATACAAACGTCAGACCTTGCCGAGAAACTTCCTGGAATCTTTGAACAGCCCGTACATGAAAATGACGACGACGACGACAACGGGGACAGCCAGGACCATGAGCCCGAAGCGTTGGATTCATGGGGCTCACTGATCCTCGTCATGCTCTACGAGTACTTGCAGGGTGAAGCTTCGCGATGGAAAACTTATCTTGACATACTTCCGCAGGCGTTCGAAACGCCAATTTTCTGGACAGCAGATGAAGTAAAGGAACTCGAAGGCACATCTCTTACAACGGAAAAGATTGGAAAGAAGGAAAGTGACCGAATGCTGCGTGAGCGCATCCTTCCCATTGTCACAAGCCATCCCAATGTATTTTTTCCGCCCGGCGCCCCTCGCCTAGACGAAGAGGACCTTCTGCAGCTCGCACATCGCATGGGCAGTACCATCATGGCATACGCTTTCGACCTTGAAAATGAAGAGGAGCAGTCCGAGGACGAAGAGGATGGTTGGATCGAGGATCGTGATGGCAAGTGTCTCATGGGAATGGTGCCCATGGCAGACATGCTCAACGCCAACGCTGAATTCAATGTGAAGTTCCCAACCTTTCCATAAGAGTCGCGCTAACTCGGTGCTCTCATAGGCTCACGTCCACCATGGTGACCAGCTGCAAGTCACCTCTCTTCGCGAGCGAATCCCTGCTGGATCGGAGATATTGAACTACTACGGGCCTCTACCTTCATCCGAGCTACTTCGGCGGTACGGTTATGTGACACCTGAACACCACCGCTACGATGTTGCTGAGCTTCCTTGGAGTCTTGTTCGCACAGCACTTGCCGAAGAACTGAAACTATCAGAGGATACCATCGCGGACATTGAAGTAGGCATTTCTTATTACCTGCTAGCACTGGTGTATAAATGCGCTGACATCAGTCAAGGGCGAAGTTGAGAGAAAGTTGGATTTGGAGCTGGAAGAGTTTTTCGTCATCGAACGCGACGCGGGCGAGCCGTCATCCCATGGCACGTTGACCCATCCACCAGTGCTTCGTGAAGTCTCATCGGAACTCGAAGAACAAACAAAAGCTTTCCTGACAGCCCTGAAAAAGTGGGATCCTAAAAGAAAGCGCAGCGAGGCTGTATACGAGGCTGTCCTAGAGAAAGCGTTGAGAATTAGATTAGGGCAATACCCTACCTTAGCCGAGCAAGATGAATTGCTCCTTAGTCAAGAAAGTCTAGACAAAAGGCATCGCATGGCTGTTGAAGTAAGATTAGGCGAAAAGCGCTTATTGCAGGAAGCATTGGCCTTGGTTCAAGCCGGCAAGAATACTGTGCGTCAGCATGAGGAGGAGGGACGGGCAGGAAAGAAGGCGAAGCGCGCGTGTTGAGTATTTTCAAGAACAAACCGTGATTGCTGCCTTATCAATCCGAACTATACTAAAAGTCTTAGACGATCGAGGTCACTCGACGTTTCATATGTCTGCGTTTCTTGGTTGTATACTGACTCATATGGCAAATAAGTTCTATTCATTCCGTTTTCCGAGGCGGCAGCTATGAATGCCTTGTTCTATCGGATTCTTTCGCTTACTGCAAAAGACGCGACATAATGAGTGAACAGGAGACGGCCCATGCTCAGGAATTGTTCGTTTTCCAACCTTTGCGCGAACTCACCACGCCTAGAGATATCGTGTCCAGGTCTCCACAACTGCCGGAAATGTCATCAGACGCGTTGAGCGTACTTTCAGCAGCAACTATGGAAGGAGTCAGTCATCGCCAAGAACCCTCACAGCAAGCGCAGTGCCCAGCATGATGCAACGTCACTGCATATACGTTTTGCACAGCTCCCTCCTCAACTTTTGTTCAATACAACACTCTAATATTCTTCATCCGTATACACTCGCGAATCGCTTCGGACCAGACAACGACGTCAGCAAACATTATTGTTCGCTTCATGTTATACCTTTCCCCCCTCTTTGCACATTCGAAGCAGCCTCTCAGGTCAACTGTATTCACAAATAGTGCGCCCAACACCCTTAACTTCCTGCCGACACGCGTATCCTTTCTGCGCCGATATTGACATTTACAGAGTAGAAGGCAGCAAGTTTCGGCGTCGGACATATCACCCACAATCGCCCACAATCCTAACCCTCTACAAGATCTGGTTTTTGGAGCAGGATCATCACGGACATGCCGTGGGTAGGACCCGCATCAGGCGCCTCTTCTCCTCGATCGCCGGGGTCTATATCCAGCCTTGATCTGGCAAGAGAAGAATCACGGGGAGAAGAAAGAGAACGCCCTTTCTTCCCCCCGCCAGATGAAGACACATTCCCTACCGAGAAAGCCTTTTTGGATAGTCTGGTCCCCGTACCTTTGGAGACCATCGAGCCTGACGATAGAGAATGTGTTTTCTGCGAAACACGTTATGGGATGATACCAGGTTCAGGACCGAGCATCCCGGAGATGCCAGTCAGATTACGATGCAATCATGTCTTTGGCGAACAATGCGCACGTAGACATTTCGGCCAACGCTTAATCGTCGAATTCCATCTTCACCCACTAAAATTTCTTCCAGGCACTAGAGGCAACGTCTTGATCTCGAAGCTATATCGCTACGCTGTGCACAAAGACCAAGACCTCGGTGGATTCAACCTCTTCAAAGGCCTCCTCCAGAATCTCCATGACACAAGACTCTTGGTTTGTTTTTTTGGACCATAGTGGGGTCCCATCATGGACCGATTACGTGCACACATTGGTATAGGAGATTGCGACAAGATTACGATACTGGAAAACGCTGTGATGGTGCATTGGCACTTACCTGTACCGGATGAAGATCCAAACATCATAGTAAGCAGGTACACGGTACACCTTTGCTTTCTTGGGTCTTTTCCTCCATTCTACTTCATGTCATCTGCAACGACAGACTTTGAAGTGTCACAGTATGCGAATGAGTGGCCGACTGGCAGTGAGGGTACGAATGATCGCCTCGTTTTGCATTCACCAACGGTGCCTCTCGCAGGTTCTGCTGAATCGAAGGAACAGGGTAAGCCTTTTCACGTTGATGATTGGATTTGACGGGATTTCCTTCCCGTACCCAACGATTGACTTCAAGCAGCAAAGGAGAAGCGCTTAAAAGAACGATTTCCTGTCCTGCTAGCTACTGAGCTGGCCAGGATCTACGCAGAATTTCGGGAAAACCCTGCTGTTGCGGTACCCTTCGGGGCGGATGCACCAGATTGTAAAGGACCTTACCTACACCTAATCAACATCACTTTACACAAGAACAGCCCTGCACCATCGGTGTACGAGGTGGAGCAACTCGACGACGAAATGTTAGATTTTCACTTGATGAATGACGATATGGACAACGCCGAAATAGAAGATGAAGAGCGACTCAGCTACCTGGTCCCATTCATCTCCCGCACAAACTGCAGCTATGGATGCTGCAAAGACGATAACGATGAGATAGAGGTGATTGAGAGGCTGGTTGATGTTCCGCCGCCGTCCCTTCTCCAGTGGAAGGACGAAGAAAATCACCCAACTATCTGCCCTGTTTGTCACAAGGTCTTGTTTCTTAAGCCAAACGATGCCCGCGTCACACGTGTACCGGAATCTGATTCTAGCGAAGCTTCAGCTCCCTCGTTTTAGCGTTATTCTCTCCCGTGGCCTTTCTTCTTCCGAGTACAGGCACCACACATTGTTTGGGTTCGGATATTCCTATGTTTCAGCAAGTCAGCATTAGGCTTCATTCATAGGCTATGGGTTTCGGGGTTTGTTGTATTCTTGAAGCTTGACGGCAGGTATTATTCCACAGCTGCAGATCATGAGTTATGGAAGCCGTGGTTCCATCGCGCAAGTTAATAAAGATGCCTTCTCACATCATAGGTTGGCACATGTCTGAGATAGCATGCAACGGCCCGTCTCCTTGGTGATGTCGAAGAATTGATGGAAGAAGAAAAAAGCCTAGTGCTTTGGATTCAGCCGACTTTGAGGACAAAAGTATGGCCAGAATCTTGTCGTGACCCTCTCGCACTCATGACATCACGCTGCCTCGCTACCTATCCCTCATCGCCCCATTTCGCTCCGCAACGCCCATACATTTGCCAGCATCGACTCTCATTCCTATTCCATCATGCCCAATCCCCATTTGTAGTCTCATGTCTCTCTTGAGTTCTCTCATCTCTTCCCTCCACTCTTTCATTTTTTCTTCGAGTAATTCCACTTGCGCGCTGAACACGCGGTACATCAGGAAGAAGTATAAAGCATTGAAAATGGCGCATGCGAGGTTTCCCATGGAGACGCTCATTACTGCTTTCCGATTGGCTATTCTCAGGCTCCAGATGGGGTGGATGAGGTGGCCTGGGTGAGTTGATTATGCGGATGCTTGTAGGGCCATGGGACGCTGGAGGAGAGGCTGCCCTGAATGATGTAATGATTGAAGTACTCAGCGCAACGATTTTTTTAATCGGACTTCCCTAGGATTTCGAAATTTCAATTCAACCTCTCGCGTACCCTGTCGCAGCTTATGTACTCTCTGCTCCCATAGATCGGGAAACCTGCGCTTACAAATATCCGCAGTTGCAGTAATTCCCTCATGCAAACGATAGGCCAAAGTGCCCAATTGTATAGAGATATTTGATCGTACTACAAGACGTGCATCGGGCTTTTTAGAGAAGGGGGATGTTTTGATTTAACGGTCAAGTGTTACATTACCTAAGCGATTCCCCAAATAAGTAACTGCGTGAAAAGGGGAAAAATGCCGCAACGCAGAAACAACTCTGGGGCTGCTCAGGCCACCAAACAAATAGCCTCTCAACCCTATTCGACGCAGAACCACCGCCCGTTGGGGTCATTGTTAGTTGTGTCAGTGTGGCAGACGTTCGGCAGCCCCGTTCCAATCCCCACGACATAATCTTTGCTATAATCATTCCGGCAGTGATGGGATTTCGGGTCTGGAGAATAACACTAATAAACAATAAGCGACTACTAGATCGTGGAATCTCGTGGAAGTAGAGGTAAGTGAGCGTAGTGACTAAAGTCAGTACATACACATTGCAACGCCAAAACAGTTTTCCTCCCAGATCTACCATTTCTACTTGTAGGGCAATCAAATTGAGGAGGGTTAGGTGGCGTATTTGGTCAACAACAGACAGCGGAGACGGTGCTTAAGAAAGGAGAAACAGCGAGGAAGAGCAATCGAATCATTATGTTCTGGAGAGACTAAAATAGTAGCGTAAGAGTCGGTTATTGCGTAGGTAGACAATATAGATAAAATGCTTGTCCTGTTAGAGTAGTTTTAGATGACATAATCTATAGGCGACACCAAGAATACTTATATATAACGAAGATCGAAAGTATCTATCTCAATATAGTATAGATAAGTGAGGATAATAAGCCGGCACTAAGCCGGTATAAAAACAAACTCTATAATATTAAGACTTAACTTAAAAATATACAGAGGGGTGACATGAAAAAAGAGTGTTCCTAAAAGTTCTAGTTTTTAAACTAGTATAACTAGCTGAATATTAAATCTATTTCCAATTAGGCTAGCTCATTTTAAAGGCAAGAGGTAGTAGTTTAACCTAGATAGGCTTAGTGCCTGCTTA